ATCTCATTAATTTCCCCCAATGGTTACACTGCAGAAAATGACCGTTTCCCCCCCTTTTTAGCAGCATCAGCTCTTCCACAAGTGTGATTTTTATCTTAAACCAAAATCTGATCCATCCCTACTTTGATCTAAGTAGCTTAGACACTGTGTCCAAAATATTTGGAAGACTAGGAGTGGAACATTTCCCCAGCACTTCAAACCGCAACATTATTTTTTGCACTGCCCCCTCCAAGAAAACCTCCAGCTAGTGCATCAGCTGTGAGGGTGGTATGGAATGATGTCTCAGAGGCACCTGGCTCTCATCCATCAAAGGCTGCAAATCTTTTAAAGTTACTGTCTTTCCCTGAAGAAGAGAGACGGGTGGGATTTTGCAAGGCTTTCGTGAAATGCTTAGGCATGAGAATCTATGCAATTTGGACATTTGAGTAATGAACCTGCCTCCTGTTTTTCAGTTTAACTGGCACTGCCCTCTACTTCCCATCTCTATAGAATTCTTGCACAGTTGCCAGCTTTTTAATGGGCTTTGCTCCTCTGCCTATAATGGCAGCTTGAGTTACAGACGTTGGCAGGCAGTCATTCTCCCCATGTCATGCAGCCACAGAAAGCGGATTTCTGCAAAGGAAGCCACTTGGTAAAGGTCCGAGAGCAGACCAAGCCGGCTTCTGCTTCTTTTTTCCTGGTCAGTTGGCAACCCTAGCTGTGGATGGTTTCCATGTCTCCCAAGAAAGTGATGGATTTAATGTCAGATGTTTAGATCCAAGATTATGCAGCCCGGCAAAGAATAAAAGGAAACAGTTATTCATGGTTACAAGTGGTCAAGTTTTTTTTTTAACCCGGCACATGATGTCTTGAGCAGAGCTCAATTTGTAACAGCAGTTAATCATCCATGTCTTTTACAAATGGGAGATCATGCTTCACTGCAACAAAATTAACCTCTTCAGATTCTCCGTACAGGAGATCAAAACACAAAAGGGTAACATTCTAAATCTAGGGCCTTCAGAGTTAATCTAACCTGAGGGAGTTGGACAGAGATCACACTGGTTTAACAGAGCATGACTAGCTTGATGCTGACAAACCTTCCTGGATTGTGTGTGTGTGTTTTAAAAAACTCTCTTCATGTCAAACTAAAAGCCGATCCTGTTTCTGCCAAAACGTCTCCTCATTTAATAGAATTAGAGCACAATCCTGTGTATGTTTACCAAGACGTCCTACTGAGCTCAACAGGGCTTTCCCCTAAGTAAAGCGTGTACAGGATTGTAACCCCACAGGGGAATCCTATATACACATTTACTGTACTCAGAAGAATGTACCATTCTGTTCGATAGAGCTTAATCACAGGTAGGAGTGCTTGGGATTGTCTGTGTTACATACATGAGAGTATGCCTCACTGAATTCAGTGGGGCTTACCTCTGAGCATAGATTGGTGAAAAAAATTGTATTTCAGTAGAAACCTAACCTTCTAACCTCCCAAAACAAAACACAAAACAGAAACAAAAGTCTCACTTTTCTTAATGTCACAGTGCAGTTCTCTAGGCCTCCAAAATGTACAAAAAGTCCATATAGCAGGGGAAAGTATGCACAACAATGCAAGTATTAGTTAAAATAACATTTAAAAATGCATTACATTAGAGAAAATTGCCTGCCAGAATGTGCATATTCAGAAAAGTAGACACTAAAACGCTAATGGATTTCCATGTGTACTTTGTTCTTCTTGTTTAATGCAACCCATTGAGGTGGAATCCTGACAAGACAGAAGTACTGTTTTGGGGTGACAGGGTGTGAGTGTGGGGGGGACTCCCTGGTCCTGAATGGGGTAACTGTGCCCCTGAAGGACCACATATGCAGCCTGGGGGTCATTTTGGACTCACAGCTGTCCATGGAGGTGCAGGTCAATTCTGTGTTCAGGGCAGCTGTCTACCAGCTCCATCTGGTATGCCGACTGAGACCCTACCTGCCGGCAGACTGTCTCGCCAGAGTGGTGCATGCTCTGGTTATCTCTCACTTGGACTACTGCAATGCGCTCTACGTGGGGCTACCTTCAAAGGTGACTTGGAAACTACAACTAATCCATAATGCGGAAGCTAGACTGGTGACTGGGAGTGGCTGCTGGGACCATATAACACGGGTCCTAAAGGATCAACACTGGCTCCCAGTATGTGTCTGAGCACAATTCAAAGCATTGGTGCTGATCTCTAAAGCCCTAAATGGCTTCAGCCCTGTATACCTGAAGGAGCATTTCCACTCCCATTGTTCTGCCTGGACACTGAGATCCAGATCAAAGGGCTTTCTGGTGGTTCCCTCACTGCGAGATGAGAATGAAGCTTGATTGCACATGCCCTATTTACCCAGCTGGACCACACTCCACTGGGTAATATATGATAAACCATACACCAACATTTCCATATATATGAAGTTTCGGTGCACGTGCAAAATTGCTCAGCAAAGTCTAGTTTTCCAGTCAGCAAAGAGATATTAAGAGAGGTTTCGTGGCATTTGCAAGAAATGGGATGGGCAACTTCCTTTCCCAGCAAATGCTGTCAGATACCATTAATCCAAGCTTTCAAAAAAGGCAGCATTTTCTGTTTCATTTGAACACTTTGATGCACTCAGCTTCCCTCACCCCACCAGCTTTTTTATTTTATTTTATCCCTTTACTGCAGACCTGTATATAAACAAGTCAAAATGTGGGCAGTGCATAAAATGTGCGCCGTAGTTGGAACTTTAGCAAGAAATCAATATTACAGTAAATGTCAAAATGGATAAATAAGCTCTATAGTACCTCTATTGTTAAAGCGATGGGAACTGGCAGAACCAGGGCAAAGGGGCAAACATATCAAGGAAAGAGACACAACTATATTCTGGCAGCAACACACACTATTTTAATGATCTAGACAAGACACCAGTCAATAAAATGGGTTTATTCTCCTCATCCCCATCCAGCGCACCACCTTTCAGACCTTCTACCTCCCCTTTTCAATTTTGTCATTCATAGCAATGAAATGGGCAATAAAACATGTCACAGCTAAATAAAATTACAAAAAGGGAACAAAAATGGGATGAAGTTTAAGAGAATCACAGTGTCTGCGCATTGTGTCTGCATGCAGAATTATTCTTGTCTGTCGTAGGGATTGCAAATTAAAACAAATTAAAACTGGTGGAGTTTGAAAACTTCAGCTAAATATATGCTAACCCCCCCCCCAAAAAAAAACCACCATTTAAAGCTTGCTAAAACAACTTAAGCTGATGGAATATGTGCAGCTTGCGGACTTAACATATAGAATAAGAGAACAAGAAGAACATATGTTTAACGAAGATTGGAAAATGTTTCTTGAATATATGGGTGAAAATTGTGTACATTTGAAAACGTTGGCAGCATTAAGATAAATTCATCAGTGTAAATAAGTTTTGATGGATGTAATAATGGAATGCTGAATGGTTTAGTTTATGTAAAATATGCAGGGATTTATGATATGTAAAATGAACCATGGAAAGAAGAAGGGGAGTCATTGATATTTTAAGGTTGTTTAAATGAATATTCCAAATTGTAAAACAGAACAACTTAATAAAAATTATAAAAAAGCTTGCTAAAACAAACAAACAAACCATAAGCACCAGTGCTTTGCCATGCTAGCTGGAGCTGATGGGAGTTGTAGCCAAAAACATCTGGAGGGCACCAGGTTGGGGAAGCCCTGGAGGAAAAGTCCACTCTGCACTTCTTCCTTCCCTATTTAAAGAAAGTGTTCTCTTGTTAAAATTTCCAGCTCTGGCTTCCTTTGGGCAGAAGTGGCCACTGTACTCCGTGCTCTGGTAACTTCTAGATTAGATTACTGCAATGTGCTCTACATAGGGCTGCCCTTGAAGATGACATGGATACAGCCGCATTGGTTGCCTGGCCTTTCCCAGGCTCAATTCAAGGTACTCTACAACCCTAAACGACTTCGGTTCCAAATATCTGAGTGACCACCTCCTTCCCCACCAACCATCCTGGGTGCTAAGATGAGTAAGAGGGCGCCCCCTTGGCAGTTCCACCTCCCTCAGGTGAGGTAGGCGGAGAGAGCAGAAGCATTTTACAAATTGTTATTAGTTGCTGCAATCTATATAAATATAGTGTGTGGATTATAACCAGGGATGGATTAACCATTGAGCAAAATAAGCACGTGTTTAGGGCATTAAGGCAGTGGGGGGGGGGCGCACCACGGAAATGCTCCATTGCCAGATTTTTTTAACATTAATGGTCACAAATTGCTCGGCTGAGTGTTCATTTTCTCAGTTGAAGTATATTAAAAATATCAACAGAACAACTATGTGACAAGAGAGGCTGGATACAATATCTCGACTAAATATAGAAGCAGGTGTATTGTGTAAGATTAGTTTTGAGGCTCTGATCAAAGACTTTGCAATTAGAAAAAGTAGGAGAACATTTTTCAAGTATAAAGTGGATGTATACAAAAATAAACATTATTTTCCATCTTATTGTAGGCTTTTTTATTTTGAAAATTTTATATTCATTATTGTTTATATTTTGATTCAGATAAATATGGAGGCACCAAAATCTTTTAAGTGTTAGGACCTCTAAAGGTCTTAATCCGGCCCTGATTACAGCATATCTCTTAGATCACGTGTGTATGAAATGACAAGGAAACACGCCTTCCGGGCCTTGTTCAAATATCCCGCAAGCAGAGGAGCAAACTGGGGTTTAGTTGCGCGCGTGTGCTCATATCCTAGCCAAGCCCGGGTTGTGCAGCCTGGTCCTACGCATCTATACTCGCAAGTGCATCCCCACGATCTTTACAAGGCTGCAGCCCTACAGCGCAATCCTGCGCGCGCCTACTCGGAAGCAAGCCTCGCGAAGTTCAGCCGGGCTTTCTCCTAGGTAAGTACGTAAGTGCAGGATCGCAGCCTTCCGTCCTTTTCCCTCGACTGCAGGCGCAGCAAAGCGACCGCCTACCCTCCCGCTCCGAGCTTTCCCCCGGTTTTCCGCTCCGAGAAGCCAGCCCACGGGGAGGTGGAGCCGCTGGGAGGCGGTGCCGAAAGAGGCCGGCTCGGCTCAGTCGCCTCCGCGGCCTTTCCCGGAGCCGACGCAGGCGCAAAAAAGAGAAACCCGCAAGCCGATCGCTGAGAAAGGAGAGCGGGGCAGCTGCCTGCCCGGGACGGCGCGCCCATGAGCTGCGAGGTACGCAGAAGGAGGAGCTCCCCTGCAAACCTCCCGGCCTCCCTCCACGATCGCTGGCTTGCGATCCCCCTCGGTCCCTTCGATCACGATCCGCCCCTGGGCCTTCGGCTTCTAGGCGCCATGAGACGCCGTCCCCGTCGTCCCCGAAAGGGCATTTCTGAGCAGGGTCGGGGTGGGGAGGCACCTGGCTCCCCGGAAGCCTTGGCCTCTGATCGGAAGCCTTGGTGAGAGAGGGGAGAGTCGGTTTGCTTGGGCGCTAAGCCCTCTGCATGCACTCAGAGGCACGGTCTTCTCGAGTTTGGTCCCCCGGGTTTGGGCTTTAGGGAGCGCTGCTTGAAATGCAAGCTCCGCGTCTTGCCTTTCGGGATCATAAGGGAGCTGCCCAAGGTGGAGGTTCGTAGCGTGAAACGAACTAAGAGAATAAAGTAGAAGTTCCACACCAACAGCAACAATCTCTTCCTCGGAAAAAGCCGCAGAATAATAAAATGTCGTGGAGAAACAGCAGCAGCAGGAGTTAAATTACAGCTCAAAAACCCAGATCAGTCATTTAGAAGTGGGTGTAAACATGCTGTTTTGGCATCTGGTCCTGGCATTGTGCTGTGCAGTACAATCCCACAGGTGTACACAGAAGGACTTCTGCACTTTACATTTTATTAATAAAAGCTTGCAATTCTGCACATTTATCCACTATCCCTTTATTGGAAGTTATCCATATATACATTGGTTCCATGCTCTTAACTGATGTGAACCGAGCCACAGGGAATCATTTTTCATTTTATTTTACTTGAGTACATTTGGTCTGTTTACACTGGAGACCAGTGAACAATGCAGCACTGCTGTTGTGCTTGTGTTTAAAAAGTCTGACTTGACTTCCTTGGCCTTTGTGAAACTTGCTTCCAAGCAGATTTGCTGACCAAGGAAGGCGGGGGGAAATTACTTCTTGATGGTCCAGCACAGTCCCCTATGGCCTTAAGTGAGCCATTGCTACAATTTGCAATCTCACAATTTTAAGAATGTATTTTTATCCTGATCTTCAGCCGGTATGGGAATAATAATGCTAGTCGATTGTGCCGGGCTGTTGTACGAATTCATGAGATAACGTATGTTGTGGGCAACTAAAAAAAGGGTAGGTTTATTCGCTCACAACTCTGCTCTTGTTCCTCTGAAGAACTCATAGTAGCTTGTGTAGGCATAGGTGAGTGACTATTACTATCTATCTGGTTTGCATTTCTAAAACAGGTGGTAGTGCTGTACTTTGCAAAAAGTGCCGAATTAGCCGGTGTCCGCACTGAGACCATTTCCGTGCCCCAACAGATAACATCCCTGCAGCTGTGGGAAGAAATTGTCAAGAGGCATTCAAGGTATGATGACTTCCAAATGGTAAAAGATGCTGCCTCTTGAGTGTGTAACTGGCCCAAGATCACCCAGTAAACATCGTAGCCAAACTTGGGTCCCCTGGTCCTTGTTTGACCCTCTTAAATTATCCTTTGCCAATCTGGTGCTGCCCAGATGTTTTAGACTTAGCATGCCATGTGGGGGGGGGCATTATTGGGTTACTGCTTTTGGTTTGATATTATATGTTGTGGTCTTGTTGTGAACTGCCCTGAGACCTCCGGGTATAGGGCAGCGTATAAGCTGAAAAATAATAATACTAATAATAATATAATAATATAATAATAATAATCAGGCCTAGGTAGCGCAGGGGCTGATGGGACTTGTAGTTTTCAGAGGGCACCAGGTCATTATTTATTGGGGGGGCAGGCTTCATGTTGGGGAGGGAGCAGAACCTCAGTTAGCTACGTATTTTTTTTAATTTTCGTGGGCAGCTACCCCCCCCATGCACCAGTTTAGAAAAGGCTACTGTGACCATCACACTGAGATTCCATTTCCCAGTTGATTTCCATTTCCTTCTATTTCCTTGTAGGCAGATGGTCTCCTCAAAGAAACAAGTGGCAAACAGCATTGTTAGTGCCCATTTGAATTCTAGGTTGCTTGGGAAATCAGAGTTTAGGAACTGGTCTTGATAAGTGAGTGACACGGAGCCTGTGGGGCGTACCAGAGGGAGCGGATTTGCTATGCTAGCTTCCTGGCAGGTGGTTCCCGGTTGCTTACCAGGAAGGAGAAGTCAGCTCAGACTTCCTGACTGCGTTAACCCTCTACCTACTGGTAAGCAACACCTGCTTACCTGCTAGAAAGCTAGCATAGCAGCTCTATCCCACCTTGTGAATCTCTTCTGCCACTAGCCCTTTTCAGGAACTGGTTTTACATTTGGGATACCTGATTCCGCTTCAGCTGGTTTGAGTTGTTTAGCCTCAGGCCCGTGGCATCCTAGGAAACATTAATCTTTCTCCTGATGTCGTCCTTTAGGCTCGCTGCTATACAGGATCAAGTCGTCTTTGCTGTCCGCCAGGAGTACGTGCTTCTTGGGGATCAGCTGGTGGTCCTCAACCCAGGGGACGAGGTTGCTGTTATCCCCCCTATTAGCGGAGGTTAGCTCTGGAAAGACGGAGTCAGGTGTGTGCTCTTGTCTTCCTAAAGGGCGATTCGACTAGGGGAGTTCGCATGTTACGTTAAATGAGTGCACAGAAAGAGTTGTACTGTACACTGGTACAGTTATTCACAGGTAACGTTCAGTGGATATGCAGTTTCTGTCCCGTGTATACACAGTAGTTGAGCTGTGCAAATCAACAAGTGTACACCCTTGGAAACCAGTGCTTGTGCATGTGTTGAGACTGCTTTTTCTTGTGTTCAGTGTAACATGTGAACGAGCCTCTCGGCACTCAATGAGGTATGAATAATAGTGGGTCCTCACACATGATATGGGTACAGGTGCCAAAATTACGATTCTCTATACAGGCAAAGGAGTTGTGTCCTGTGGCAGTGATTAAGAATAACCTAATCCCTGTTCAGATCTTCCTCATATGTTTCCAGTTGTGTGATTTAGAAGCAGGGAAACAAAGTTCCACTAGGCAGACTTGCCCTCTTCAACCATGTTCCTTCTACTTTCCACATTTTGGGGAAGAATGTCTGAGTAGGAAGCTAGCTCTAATTGTTTGGCTCCCTGCACAATTTCACAGGAGGGGAAATCCCTGAATAGGTGTCTAAAACAGAAGTTTTCAACCTTTTTGAGTCTATGGCTCCCTTGACCAACTACATTCTTTCTGCAGCACCCCTGTGGGGCTCAGGAGCCCAGTTATGTCACCCTTGCCTGCAGAGCTGGCAGCCTCCCATCCTTTTTTGAACACCCTCCCTTGTGGAGTGTTTCCTCAGTCCCCTCTCCTTTCCCCTCTCCTGCCGCTGCCCCTGAGCTCTGAGCTGCCCCTGCCCCAAAGAGAAGTGCCTCTACACACTGCCCCACAGGAGCCTGGGACTTGTCTGTCCAATCCCAACAACAAGGGCTATAGGACTGGCTGGCTGGGCTCCCTCGCCCACTTGCTTGCTTACTCTGAGGCCACCTCAGCTCCTGGCAACCAGCGCCCCCTGGCCAGCCCCAGAGGCACCATTCGCCCAGGGAGCTTGTAGCCAGGGCTGCTGCAACAAACAGCTGTGCAAGCCTTGGGGAGGCAGAGATGCAAGAGGGCATCAGAGAAGGGAGGGGAGGAAAGAGGGCCAGTGCTGTCTGCAGCACCCCTGACCATCATTCAAGTCACTCCAGGGTGCCATGGCACACTGGTTGAACTGGTTGCATGACTATTCAAAGTGGCATGACACAGCTTTAAATGTACAGTGCAGTTGAGGCCCAAGTTGCACATGCCAGATACACTGTGATGCTGGTTTTTCTCTCTTTCCAGCATCCACACTCTAAATACACTCATTTGAGGCTTTGACCTAGAATTTCTATTATTCTAGTAGCAGGTCAAGAAGCATTTTTGCAAATGATCCCATTAACTGGAGTACCGTATTTTTCTGTGTATAACACCCCCCCCCATGTATAAGACAACCCCTATTTTTTTGGACCACAAAAGGGGGGGGATTGCCCAGAGTTGTTCAGCTTTTTTGGGGAGGGGCACCGCCCCCAATCACTCTACAACTTGCCCGCAAATGCAAATAGCACACATCGCCGCGGCCACCAATCGTCTGCACCCTCACCGCCAAAAGCCCACCTGCCCACTAGACGCAACCACAGCCGAGTGCATGCACGCCTCACCTCTGTCGTAAATAGCATGCCCAATTGCTGCAGCCCCAGCCAATCGTCAGCAGTTCTTGCTGCAGCAACCAATCACACGGCCAATCGCCGCTGCCAATCTCTTGCTGGCTGCTGCCACCAATCGCCTGTCCCCCCTCTGCTATCCGTGTGTAAGACGACCTGCATTTTTTGCATACACGGAAAAATACGGTAATAACTTTCATTTCACCACTGCTTATTCCTAGAGAAGCCATGAGCGTAAGTGAGGATGAGCCCAAGGACTTGATAAAATTGAACCACGAGAAGCTCTCGGCAGACGAAATATCAGCACTGGTGGTTTCCCCCTGCTGTGGAGCTGTGTCTTTATTTATAGGTAGGTTTGATGCACGTAGTATGAATTTTGGAATAAGAGAGAAACCCAGTAAAAAAATGTTTTAAAACCTGTTAAAATCACCCTTACAGAACTTACATAGGTGGTTGCAGCTGGTTTCCAGAAAGAAAGAATCATCCATATTCTGCCAGAATTGTCCTTTTTAGGTACCCCTCTAAGCATGTGAACATCCAGAGACAGTTATATTCCAAACCCTGTCAAAACAACCTTTCAGAGTGAACCCTATTGGTTTCCAACAGTGCCAGTTTCATGTCTGCAGCCACAGTCAGAAGTGCCACAACTTGTGTTCTGTTAGTGTGCTGTGGACCCTCCTCAGGTAACTGGACTCATTTGGACCTGGGACCACTGTCTGGGAAATCATTGATAACCTTGTTAACCAGCTTTAACAAAACTGTTGAAGTGGGCACTTTCGTCCTGCTGACCTTTCCCAACCAGCCAGTTGAACACGTCCTTTCATTTCAGGCACTACCAGAAATAACTTTGAGAGGAGAAAGGTCATACACTTAGAATATGAAGCATATGAACCGATGGCAGAAGCGGAAATCAAGAAAATATGCACAGATATTAGATTAAAATGGCCTTCGGTGAAACATATAGCTATACACCATAGACTTGGGTATGTATGACCAGTGATCCAATTATTGCCACATCAAATTGCTCTTGTCATTTCTGTCTCTTGTTTTCTTAATTTTCCTGTTGAATCCTGTCTCAGAAAGTATAAGAGAGGGACATGACAGTTCTGACTTGAGATTCCTAGGATATAACTTGTGCTATAATTAGCAGAAAGACAGTGGATTTTATTTAGCCCTCTAAAGATTAAGCGAATACAGATAAAAACAACAACTAATATTTCCTTTCGCTTTTCTCTGTAGTTCTGTTCCCATCAGTGAAGCGAGTGTGATGGTCGCAATCTCTTCGCCTCACAGAGCGGAGTCTCTTGAGGCTGTGCAATATGGCATCAATGCTTTGAAAGCAACCGTCCCTATATGGAAAAAGGTATGTGTATGTGTCATTTCCCCCAAACTTTCTTTTTTAATACAATGAACTCCATGTGTTCCATGTGTGCCTGGTAGGGACAGTTTGGGAAGAACAGTGAAGTTTCTCCAAGGGTTGTTTAACAAACGAACGTCAATCTACACGTGTCCGCCAAATTTTGCTGTGACTTCTAAAAACGTGCTACACACACACTCCCATCAGTTTGATCCAGGTATTTGATTAATCTAAATGTATAAGGATAGGGACACGGGTGGCGCTGTGGATTAAACCGCAGAGCCTAGGACTTGCTGATCAGAAGGTCAGTGGTTCGAATCCCCGTGACGGGGTGAGCTCCCGTTGCTCGGTCCCAGCTCCTGCCAACCTAGCAGTTCGAAAACACGTCAAAGTGCAAGTACTGCTCCGGCGGGAAGGTAAACGGCATTTCCGTGTGCTGCTCTGGTTCTCCAGAAGTGGCTTAGTCATGCTGGCCACATGACTCGGAAGCTGTACACCGGCTCCCTTGGCCAATAAAGCGAGATGAGCGCCGCAACCCCAGAGTCGGTCACGACTGGACCTAATGTTCAGGGGTCCCTTTACCTTTACCTTTATAAAGGATACCTTTTGTGAATGAGGATATGCAATGGGGCAGAGATTCTGGGCCCGAGATCTGCCTTTCAGGCTTGTTCACTGAAGGACACTGACCTTTGCTTTTGGGATTCTATGCATTCATCCATATATGCAGTCAGTTTTCCTGCTCTCCAGGGCTCCTGTGTGAATTGATCATTTAGCTGTTCTCCTGAATAGTGCTGTGGGGTTTTTAAGGTTTTAATAGACCCCCATCATTGGAAGTTTAAAAATCTAGATGCTTCAGGTTGGTTGCAGTCACAGGAACATTTCTCTCCTCATCTGTGTTTGCTGATCTGTGTGATCAGCTTTGCAACAGTTATCATCCATTATGCTCTTTGGTTGCAGGAGGTCTATGAAGAGGAATCTTCTTGGAAAGAAAACAAGGAGTGCTTTTGGGCCAAGACACTGAAATAAAGCTCTGCTGACAAGACTACCTAACTGTGCTTAAATAATACGGCGTGGCTGCAAGGATGAGATCAGAAGCTTCTGTTTCAGATTAACAACTCTTTCACATGGCAACTGGACCCTAAGCCACTTTCTGTCATTTGATTAAGGCAGCTTCATAGCCTACACAGTCATTTTTTTTTTAAAAAAAAGATTGTCAGACATTTAATTGTATATAATTGGAAATACGCTAATAGTTGTGGAATATATATTTTTTATTCTAGTGATTTCTTCTAGGGGTCAAAGGTATGTAAACATAAAAGTTACTATCCCCATGGAGTTGTTCACACTTAGCAAATTCTTATTTCAAACCTGCTCATTAAAGCGGATTCGTTCTGAGTAACAATGGGATGTCTGCAATGCTGCTAGTTCAAAGCATCAGCCCAGCATTCTGATGGGTTACCAGGGCTCCTCACAGTTCATAGTTGCAGTTCGACTGAATCGCATTTGCTGAACACAAGCCACAGGCACTCCTGAGCCATCGCTCCCTGAAAAGTTATTAGGGCAACTACTTCTGCCATGCTGCTAGCGGCATATGGACTTTTTCCAGCACTGGGTGGAGCTTTTGGGGCTTATTAGAGTCCGAATGCTGTCATAACTCTCAGATGGGATTAGTACATGCCATTGGCCATGGGAAGGTGACTTTGGCTCCTTGGACTATGTGTAGGATAATATGCAGCTACAGAAGCGCAAGCCGTTTGTAACCCTAGAAGTAGTGTAGCTCAAAAGGGTTAGGCTGATAATCACAATCAATGGGAACAGTAAAGGAGTAAAAAGTGTGTGTGTGTGGTTTTTTTAAAAGTGCTGCCTCATAACAGAATACACTTAAGTGCCTTTTGGTAGTGTCTGAAGATAATACTGCTGTCATCATGCATTTATGTTTTGATTATTGGTTTCAAACATAAGATTGCCAGGAGTTGTGGACAGATTTAGATGGTTAAAAATGTGATGTAAAACCACTGATTTTTTATTTTTTTGTTCAACCATTATTTATGTTCAGCCCCTTCCTTTATTTCTGAAAATATGGACTCTTCTTTAGAAGCAGATTAAACTCAGTTGTGCCCAAAAGCCTGCAACAGATTTTACGTTTGCTTATTTATTTGATGCACCAATACGTTTTGTGAAGCTATGTGTAAATGTGTTGTGGACCTGCAGTAATGCAGGCAACCACCGTCTTATGCATGTCCACTCAGAAATAAGAACTATTTAATTCAGTGGGCCTTACTCCCAGGTAAATGGGTATGCACTTTAAAAGATAAAATCAGATGCGAATGCTGGCCACAGGCTTACAGTTTTTCCCTGGTTGGGTGATCAGCATGTTTTATTGAAGTTTAAGAATCCTAAATTTAAAAAGGAAGGTGAGAATATATATCTTATTTAAGATCTGAATGGTAAATATTTATATTTAAATTATAAATACATTGAATTACATTAAAACGATAGTAAGGAAGAATTGCCAGGCTTTGCATATCCAGACTTGTGAATTTTTGATACAACAGAGCACCACTCTGTACATTGCTGTAAACAGACATATTCTGAATTTCCCTGCAACATTTCTAAGAGAATTTGCAATACACATCTGGAAGAGCAGTACTTGGTCCTGTACTGGGAACAACCAGTAGGGGTCAGTGGAGAAACTGCTATGCCAACAAGCCTGTGACAATACAGTACAGTACATACTTTCTATGTTTACCAAAGGAAAAGAAAAGCATTTTTTTTGTTTCCACTGTAAGGTGTAAAATGATGCTTGTTTCCATGATAGCTACAGCAAATGGTATGCTTTCTTCTGGTTTAAGGACAGTTTATCAACTTACAGTTAAGTTTTGACTGGTATAACTTAATCTCGTCACTTGGAATGCATATTTATCTTCAGGCAGAGCTGGGCTAAGTCTTCCTAAGCTACATGCCCAGCACAGTGAATAGAAACTAACTGCAGGCATATAAAATAAGAGTTCAGTGTAGTCTACACCAGGTTTGTTTCAATTTTACTCAAGGCAGATCTGTTTTTATTTCAGTTCTGAAATTCTGAAATAAAAGTGCAAAATATACATACACGAAGGCAAACTATTACACCTGGATGCATCATATAAAAAAAATGAGAACACACTATATACAATGGATTTAAAAGGTAGTGCAAATGTACATAACAATGTGGGGAGGACAAGGTTTACTTTGAACGTCTGCACAAACCCCAAATGCAGAGAGTTCAGCTTGTGCCAGCACCATCTTTCAGGTTACTGAAAATCAGAAGACCCTAGAGTAGTTTCACAGAGGTAAGTTTTGCCCTGTACAAATAAAGCCTTTATGAAAATTGCTCTCAGCTTCCTGCTAATTTCAATTGGTGTTGACACAGCAGAATGTATATTAGTAGAGCCAGGCTCCTTGGAGTTACAATTTCCAATAAATGCTGTATTCAGTACACTAGTTTGAAACGAACAGTGCTGGTGCAGTTGAAATCCTAGCTTTGTCATTAAATAGGGTTTCAGAAAATGCCCTGCTTTCTCTGGGTGGGTAAAGGTGGTTAGATAGGATTATCCTTAACAAGCCATTGTAAAGGAAGGTGGAAGAATTTGCACCTGAGAAACAAAAGAGGAGCTACAAGTCAATTGTGCAGTTGAGTGACCTTTGCCTCTGGAACATCTCTTAGAACAGTACTGATTCTGTTGTGACACTTAACATTGCTTCAAATTCCACTAAAACAATGCCTTACTGAATTCTTTAGTACAAAAACACATTTTAAAATACCTTTATTATTTTTTTAAGGTGTGCATGTTTATAAACCTATATATTTACATTAGATTTATAGCAGGACTGCAGATTCGTGCCAGTTTGAAAAGTGCAATAAAATTAGTATCGGCGGTAGAAACTATGGAGTGTGTAAATTGCAACATGTGGCTTAATGGAAATGAATGAAAGCTGCAGGATTGCAAACTTCCAGCTTCAAGGGTTGGAAAACTTAGTTCAAATATTCAACAAAAGTTATTTCCCTGATCTTAAAGACACAAATTTGGGGGCTGTATCCCTTTGGAAGGGTCCAACAGTTTATCAGGATATATTTTTTGCAATAACAATAGCCCAATAATAGCCCAAATACTACTAGAATATGGCCCCAGATGTAGATCTAACCATGGGCTTTCATGCACTTTTGGTGAAACACAGCCTTTTTGGAACTCTGCCCTAGGAAGCATTTAATAAATACATAATAAAAATGGTCACCCACAAATGCAAGAGAGAATAGCCGCAGCAGAAGGAGTGGATACTTCCTGCTGCCTTAGAGCTTCCAGCCACAGCCTTCATAAAGAGAGCCCTGCATGATCACTCCAGTGGCCCATCTCATCCAGCATCTTGTTCTCATAGTGGCCAATCAGAGGCTTACAAGAAGTCCATCAGCAGGACCTGAGTGTGACACTATTCTTGCTTATTCATATTAAGTTTGGCTTAGTGTTAGGTGTGAATAGGTCGGAGAGTCCGCTGCTGTAGGCCTTTTGTACACATCAAGCAGCTGTGTTAATGCATAGCTGTCAACTTTTCTTGCGAGGAATCCTATTCGGAATAAGGGAATTTCCCTTAAAAAAAAAATGGGAATGTTGACAGCTATGGTTAATGTTGTAACAAAGACTATCCTGACAGTCAATCGATGGTATATATATGTATATATAAATAAATATATAAACCATATTATTTCTGGCACAATTCAGTGTTTACTGCTTCTGGTCCTGCTGATTCAGAACAAGCTATTAATAAAATACAAAAAATACAAACAAGAAAAATAAAAATATTTTAAACCCTTGTAAACAAAACCCCAAACTGACCAGCAGTTATTGCTAAAATAAAATAGTACCTGTAATTTCCCCCCCAACTATAAAAAAATGACATTTTCATTGAAAAAAAATAAGAAATTAAAATAATCCGTAAGGCACTCCCAAGTTGTTGAACCAGTGTGATTGCAAGCAATGTTTGTGGATCAGAAGGTTGGTGTACACAGTGCTATTCCTGCTATATTCATTCTCTGTCCTTAGTGAGTTCTGCAATTTCATCCGCATCTTCCACATCCTTTGCCATCTTCTCATATTTTCGTTTGAAGAAACCGAGCTGTAGAAAATGTTTTGAGAAGTTTTTAAAGAGATTAGCAAAAACCACTGAAATACATTTATTTAAAATAATTTCCTTTTGTATGGTATATGATACTTAAGGCTAGCTCATACATTTAATTAAAGGCTTAGTGCTATGTGCATGAGCCTCAGACTAGGGCACCTGTTTCCCTACAGCATGCTATGAGAATGGAAGATTTTGCTTTCGTTTTCAACTAACCTTGGTTTGTCACAGAAAACTATGGCTTACAGAAACAAGCCAACATCAGACTCTGGTTTCTGACCTTTGCTTCTTTCTCTAAGTCAAGGTTAAGATTAATCACAATTCTGGGTTCAGACATAATGGCAAACCATGAAAATGGGTGTTCCATGCACATAATCCTAAACCTTAGCTTAGCATTATGCTCAAATCCAGCCACAGATAAAGCTATAGTATGTGAATTCAAGATAGGCACAGCTGATTTCTCAGTGGTTTCTGGAAATTTCTGGAAAGCAGTTCTTAAATTCTGCTATGCCGGGAATGACTGGGTTACTATTCAGCAGGAACCACAAAATGAAATATATTTGAGAAAATGACTACAAGACATAAGAGCAGCACAGCTCAATTGTTTACCACTAGAGTGGAATGGATTGTGCAGGAGCTTTCTGCCTCTAGTGGTGGATCTATGCCTCTCACCTCACGAGTGGGAGTTCTATGGCAATTTGCCTTCTCCCCTACGATGGCTTTCGTTAACTTACTTTCCATAAGGCACCAACTAGAGCTAGCAGCAAGAGGAGACCGACCAGGACACTTGCTATCACAACTCCAATCGGCACGTCTGCTTTCTCATCGGGCTTTGTTATTGTGAGTGGAATCTTAAAAGAAAGAATGGTTGTAGTTAGACAAGGTAAGGCAGCAGCAATTCTCAAATAAAAGCGATCAATGCATTCTGCATGCATTCTTTGGCCTCTCGTTGGAGAGCAGCAAGTGTAATTGTGCTCTCGCCTTTTGGTTCTGCTTTGTTTGAATTCCAGCAGAAATTCTGGGTTTCAGAACACTGGTAATAAATTTTGCACTTGCACTTTCATAACAATTTAATACAAAAATCTTTCACTGTGCCCTGGTTCACACGATACAGTAAGCCGAAGTTCAGCATACTGGGAATATGCAGGCTGCCAGAGAGATGCTTGCAATAGCATCCCTCTTTACTGGTTCTTTTGACCACCACACTGAACTGAGCTAAACCAAGGTTTGGCTTATCATGTTGTTCAAACCCGGTTAAGAAGCTCTCTTCTCACTGGCAGAATCCGAGACCAGGGAGAAGAGTCGGTGGAAGAAGATTGGAAGAAATTTAAAGATTATCTACAGAAATATTTCCTTATTAATTTATGTATCTGTTAGTCAATATACAATTCAGGCAGATGCACACAATCAATTATATAGAGCTGCTTCCTGAGGTAAAATTCCTAGTGATCTAGAGGGATGGTACAATAGAACAATCAGAGAACAACAGTCACAGGAACTGCTATCCAATGAAAATGTAGGAAAATACACTAAGGAAATAGTCCTTCTACCAGCATTTCAGCAGAACAGTGAGCCTTTTAAATAAATAAATAAATAAATAAATAAATAAATAAATAAATAAATTCTCATTCAATCCTCTGCAAAGCAGGAATATGCACGGGGTCCCATACAGAATAAGCTATACGTCGCTTAAATGCACCACTTGTATTTATTTATATTTTTTAAATCACAACCCAGCAAGAGTTCAAGCAGCAGCGCTCAGCTAGTTGTTAGCACCTGGCTCCCAGGAACAGACCCATACACAAAGGAACCCCAACTACAGTCAGACAGAATTGGAAGATAATTGCCTACAATAAATGTTGCCCCTTTTAAATGATAGGCAAATCTAGGTGCAAAGCAACACCAAGTAATCAAACAGAATTGAAAATAACTGCTTACTAGGAAATGCCCAGAAGCTGCAGCCAGATTAAGAGAAAAGGAAATCAACAAGATTCCAGGCCCACACCAGTGGCCCTCTGAAAAGGAGGGGTGAGGTTGCTCTTAAGGGGAATATCTCACTACTGGGAAAACTTCTACCAACAAAGGAAACTTTGCCAAACAAAGAAAAGTAAATCTTTGCCCACAAGGTCAGCTCCATAAGGGTGCTTAAACAGACAAAAGACTGCAAATGGTCAAACTGCTGGTTAGTTAAACTGACAATGCAACTAGAGCTGCTGAACTGCCCGGTGCTTAAAGACAATGCCTAACAAACTGCCAGTCACTCAGAGAGCAATCAATTCAGTTGAAAAACCTGTCTGGTAACTGAGATGACTCAGGCAAGAAACAAAGGGAACTCTGCAAAGGTGGGGGGTGCTGGGAGGGAGGAGAAGGAAAGCCTGGGGGGAGGAGGGGGTAAAATGAACACTCAGGGCAAGGAAAAGTTTAGAAGAAAAGGAAAATAGCTGTCCTTTACAGTGAGCCAAAATGAAGTGGAAATATAAACCGTGGGTTAGCCTGGACTTTTCAGTAAGGGTCTATAAGCCACAACCTTTTGTTTGTTTGTTTGTTTAAAAGCAGTTTTCTTTAGGGACCCTGTACTGGCAAGTGAAACCAATGACAAAAACCAGGCAGAGGTGCACCTTCAAAGGTTCTAAACGTATAAATGTACAATGCTGAGGAATGGTTCCCTGATCAGAAACCCTGAATTGTCCGCCCCACGCACTGCCTTATTTCTTCCCCCAAATGCCAAGCGAAGAGGGGTGTGTGGCTTAGATAAAGTAAGAGGGGTGAGGTTTAAGTGGTACCAATGGAAGGGATGGCAGGGTAAATCAAACCCACACTAAAAGAGTAATAAATCAACAAACAGCAGGCACAAACACACGCTGCCAGCACACACACACACACGACTTAAAATTAGAGAGGAACAGGCAAGGGCAAGGGAAGGGGAAAACATACCAGCACCCTGGCCAACAAATTAAAAGGTAAGGCAAACCCACTCAGTCACCCAGACCAGCCAGGCAATTGGACAGGCAAGGGCAATAGAGGGGGGGGGGAACAAAAAACAAACAGGCACCCTGGCCAAAATTAAGATAAAATGCACAGCCACCAAGGCAGAGGCCAGGGAAGGAAAGTGAGGAAACAAGGGAGATAGAAAGAAGGCACTCACACTCAGACCTCACTGGTGGTGGAGAGACCATGTGCTGGGCAAAGGAAAAAGCTGCAGCTTAAGAAGATAATTCACACTTAAACCGCCCAAACAAATCCAGCACCAGGAGTGGGGGAAAATAAAATGTAGGTTTTTACACAGAAAAGAGGACACAGCAAGACAGCAAGGCAAACTTGGGTGCCTAGGTTTTTTAAAAGCAGTAAAGCAATGAGCGCACGCAAGCCTCCTAAATTTAAAAAGGCAAGCCAGGAACCAGACAGCCTCCACACACACAAACACCCCCCGACTCCAAACCTCATGGCTGAGCTCTTGACTTGCTGAGGGACGACGACGAATGAGGAGGAGGCGGAGCTGGCGCCACAGCATTAAGCTGCTACACACGCCCCCCTGAGGCACCTGGTTGGCTGCCTCCAGTGGGCGTGGGCGCCAGCCAGGTAAGGAGGGGAGGGGGCTAAGGCCCCCTACCAGGGGCAGAGCTCGGTCTCCCACCCACAACCACTCCCCTCTCTTCCAGGGAGGAGAGTCTCTACAGAAATACTGCAATATTAATGAATGTTAGAATGATGTTGGAATGAAGTTAAGTGGTCTTAGCAGCAATGTTATTAAGGTCTATGTAAAAATGGATTGTTAATAGATGTGAACTTGAAGTAATAATATATTAAAGGATTAAAATAAGAACAAAGAGGGAAAGGATTTGCTGAATTAACTAATTGAACTGGAATGCAAAAAAGGGAGGTGTGAGGAGGTCAGGGAAACAAGTGAATGAAAGACAAGATATGGAAAGACTGATTTGTTTTTAATTGTTACTCTATTTTTTCTGTTTTTTGTATTTTCTTTTTACTTTTTTTTACTTTTCTAAATATTATTTTTTTTAAAAAAGAAGCAGCTCTCTTCTCACTAACCACAAAATGTATCGGGGGGGGGGGTTGTTCTTGGCTACAGTTTGTAGTTAGTGAGGAGAAAGGTCAACCATGAGACTGGGTTTGGATGACCTGCTAAGCTAAACTTAGTGTGTCTTAACTGTGGCAGTAAAAAGGAACAGCAAAGTTACTGCAAGCTCATTTCCAGATAGCTTGGCTTATGTAGTGTGAACCAGGTCTCTGTGTGTTCCTGTTGAAACAAGTTAAAAAGGAAGAAAGCAGAAAGTGACACATACACTCACAACTTTAAACAAAAAAGCACACATCATTATTATTATTATTATTATTATTATTATTATTATTATTATTATTATTCATCTGCCAAGAACAAAAGAAGGAACTATGTTGGGTGCTGCAAATTACTTAAAAGTATATCATTTATCATTTTTATTTTCTTTCAAATATCTTGCAAAATATTAGAAATGCACCTTTGGAGGAATAAGATATTCTGACATTTTGCATTCCACCTATGCAAATTTATCCCATTAAAATACTCCAGACTCAATGATGGAATTTCTGTGAAGGCAGATTCCAGCAGCATCCCTACATAACAGGCTTCCTTGAACTCAGAAATTCTGGGGTCAGTAATTCCTTGAGGAGGGAAACGGAAAATGGAAGACTGCAGGATTTGCTCTGCTTGGATTTTGTTGTTGTTGAATTGTTGCTGGGTGGTGAATGATTTAATTTCCAAATTCATATATTCACTGCATTTTGTTTCATTGCATTCCACCTAGAGAATATTTTAGGATGCACCTAATGAATGAAATCAAATAAATGAAATAAATCCTTCCTAAACATTTTGTAGGCACAGCCATTGTACCCACAGGTTGGATAATTGGAAGAATATAACTTTAAGGATTTTCTGTTTTCTTCTTCATCATCCAATATACCCCGACATTAACCAAGGAGCTGGCAGCCTTTTCATAAAGTGAATATAATTATAAATACAGATGATCTTGTTGGCTTCGAAAGATATTTAGGGTTTTCAAAGATCCATGGGAATTCAAGTTTAGCTCTGAAAATCTGGAAGGACATTTTAATATATTTTACACTTGCAAAGGCAAAGTTACAATTAAATTGCTTGATGCAATATAATCTCATAATTTATGGCCAATTCCACCCTGAAAACCGCTTGGATATTTCAGATGTATTGCCAGCAGAGCTTTATTGTTATGATTATTCTGCTGTTTTGGGTGTGGACACATCGATACATTTCATTGTGTCTGTCTTCTACATACAGTACTTTGCAACAAAATGACCATGATAATGATTTTTGCAGAGGCGGAATCATTCATTATTGCAGTCTCCAAATAACAGCCCATTTTAACTCTCGCTCTCTCTGTGTGGGAAACCACAACAATTTCCTTAATTTGATTCATGCATCAAGACTTCTCTCACAGCAATTACATTCAATTAAATCACAATAAATTGAAAATTATTTGTTTTTAAAGTTAGCTAAAGAGATTTCTGTTCCATCTTTCGGGGTGGGGGAATCTTCCCAAGTGGCTAATAAAAATAAAATCAAGCATTTAATATTACAAACCATATAATTATAAAGCAGCAGTAAAAGCAGCTTTAACAGCATCAATGTAATCAATTATATATTAAAATACTGGGTGAGAGATGTGATTGTATTCACATACTGCTGTAAAGACAGGAAAATAGGCACCAGCTGAGCGTCTCTGGTGAAATCATTTTACACCCGGGGTGCCAGCAAGAAAAAGTCCCTGCTCGGCTCTGAAGGCATCGGGAGCTGGAATGAGGCCTTGATGCAAATCTAAAAATGGGAAGGTTTATATCAGGCATAGGCAAACTCGGCCCGCCAGATGTTTTGGAACTACAATTCCCATCATCCCTAGCTAACAGGACCAGTGGTCAGGGATGATGGGAATTGTAGTCCCAAAACATCTGGAGGGCCAAGTTTGCCTATGCCTGGTTTATATGGAGCAGGGGCTGGGAACATTTTTCAACCCCTTCTGCATGTGTGTGTGTGTCACATGCCAGTAAGGAGAGGTTCAGAGGCAAAAGTGGGCACAGCAATTAAGGTAAATTTTAAGCTAGTTTCTACACACAGTCTCTTGCCTCTCTATATCCTCCATCCAGGCAAGGAAAAGGCATCGGGACAAAGGGAGGAGAAAGTAACTTATCCAGCAGTCCCAGTTTCACTGGGATGCGGGGGAGGGGGGGAGAGACAGCCCTTCGACACAGCACCAAATGCAAAACAAAAGCAACATTTGTTGCTTTGCCTAGGCTTGCTTTCAATGACTGCCCACTGGGGAACAGGAGACCTGTGTGGCAACGGCATCCATGCAGGACATTTTGCCCTCCTGCAGCATTTCAAGCGCCTCCATCACTTTTGATAGCTGCTGCTACAAAGGGCTGCTCCTAGGCAAAAGCCTACCTCCTGTGGCAGACCCTTAGGGCAAAGGGATCTGCCAGAGGGGGTGGGCTGTTTCCCACAGTAGCAGTTTCAATCACCTACGCAAGAAATAGGGGCATTCACGACCAGGTGGTAGTTATTCAGCTCTTCCAGGTCCTGGGAGGACTCTGAGGAGTGGGGACACTACTCCCTGCTTCAAGATGATGTCTCTTGTGTAATGATACACATCCAACTAGCGTCCCCGAATCTTGATAGACAGGGATCAAGAGGGCATGTAGATGGCCTCACCACTCCAATTACCATATTACCAAAGCCCACCCCTGCTTTTTCCTTCCATTCAAGGAACCACCATTAGAATGAAGTGTCTTCCTTGAATGGAGAGAAACAACTGGATAAAACCTTTAAGCCCTGCTCTGAAATCAACACACCATCATTTATTCATTTTCATTTTCCACCACAACATTGGACAGCAGGCTCACCTTGCCACTCCCAGTGTGGCAGTATATTATACAGTATATTATACAGTATATTATATAATATATCCCAATAATACCTAGAGAGAGACACCTGACAGACTATAGTCTCTCCTGAAGATCTGGCAGAATGGAGAGGCATCAATGCAAGTTAGCCCTTCTCCATAAGTAGACCTTACCATACATCGTCTCTCAGCACTGGGAATCAAACTTCCATATCCTATTGCTGCTTTCCCTTCTATCTATTCATCTAAAGCCACCTTCTTTTCTGAAGGTTTGCAAGCTCCTAATTTAATATAAAAAAATATATTTTGTACCAACTTTTATCAGATCCATGCAAACATCCATTTTGAATAAAACTGTCTTGAATAACAAAGTTTTAAAGTTTTATAGATAGCTTTAGGTTTCCTTTGAGCCAAAACTTGGCCAGATGAAATGCCATAAAACTGTTAAGTTTCCAGTAACTTTAAAACTCACACAACAATTTATACATGTCAGTAACAGCAGTGTAGCCTTTTTATAAGAGGAAGATACGGGGTGCCATGTGTTTTTAAATGAGCGTGAAAATGACATAATAGCTTTTAGCGTGGCAAGACTGGAGCATAAAACAGTCAGACTCACTGATAAAGCATTTTCTCCAATCACAAATAGATCTGGATCGTTTGTATCCACTTCTGCACTTGCCGATAACTCTACCGTCTGGAACGCTGACTGCAACAAAAAATGTAGCATATTCCAATTAAAGTATATATGGTTTTCATAAAGTGTAGGCAATTATTTAACGCACAGAGCCTTTTTAAAAAGGAACACAATGGTATTAGAGAAACGGCATGCACAGCTACCTCCCGACTTTCAACTTTTATATAAAGGGGTCATAGTGCTAATTGTTCCATCTTAGGAGGCATAATAATAATAATAATAATAATAATAATAATAATAATAAAATTTATTTATAACACGCCCATCTGACTGGGTTTCCCCAGCCACTCTGGGCGGCTTCCAACAGAACACTAAAATACAATAACCTATTAAACATTAAAAGCTTCCCTAAACAGGGCTGCCTTCAGATGTCTTCTAAAAGTTTGGTAGTTATTTTTCTCTTTGACATCTGGTGGGGGGGCGTTCCACAGGGTGGGTGCCACCACCGAGAAGGCCCTGTAGGTTCCCTGTAACTTGGCTTCTCGTTTAAGCTCCATGCTGAGTCCGTCAAGGATTTAAGACTGCAATCCTATACACACTTATCTGGGAGTAATGGGACTTCAGCGGTATTCTGTGCAGCCATTTATATGATTGCAATGTAAATCTGATAAGAACATGAGAAGATCCTGCTGAATCAGGCCCATAGCTGTCAACTTTTCCCTTTTCTTGCGAGGAATCCTATTTGGAATAAGGGAATTTCCCTTTCAAAAAGGGAAACGTCGACAGCTATGGTCAGACCTGTGACCTATTTAGTCCAGCATACTGTTCTCACAGCAGCCAACCAAATACCTATGGGAAGCTTGCAAGCACGACCTGAGTGCAACTCTTCCTTCCTGTGGTTTCCAAGTTGCCATTCAGAGGCATGCTGCCTCCAATAGAGGCAAAACACAGCCAGCAGGGATAGCAGCTATGGATTGCCCTGTCCTCTGTAGGTCTCCAGCTGTTTATGAACTACAGTTCCCATCATCTCTGACCACTCTTTCTGCTAGCTAGGGATGGTGGGAGTTGTACTCCAAAAACAGCTAGAGACCCAAGTTTTGGAAACACTGATCTAAACCTCTTTGAAAGCTATGTACTGTGAGATATTAAAACTGCCCCTCTCCCTTGTTCTGGAAGGAAAGGAAGAAAATAGAGCATCTAGACATGGATGGCAAGAGGTCACCATATGATCCAAGAGAAGACCAAAGAGACAGCAGGCTTTAAAGGCTGTTTGCACATCAAGGCATATCGTGAATAATTCCATATAAAGTCATATTTGGCAGCTGCAACATTCATATGGGGACAATTACTCATATATGTCATAAAAGTCCACCAAAGTCTTCAGGATCTGAGTTTCCACTTAATGCTTTCGTTCCAGGATAGCGATGCATATAGTACTTTCTTAAGCTAACTGTCCCACTGTGACATTCGAGCATCTTTCCCATTCTGAGCAATTACAAATTGGGCAGCTTTGTCCGTGGAGAACATTTGAACTTCTTGGCCTGGTTATCACTTGCAGGTGGTATTTCATGTACTAGGTAATGGTCTTCTTGTTCTTCCTTTAAAGCAGAATCTATTCAATGCTTATGATTTTATACTAAGTTTCTCCTTGCTGAATTTTATGCCTAATTTACATTGTTTCACATTATTTTAGCTTCTGTGCTATATCAGTTGTCGGATTTTTTTGGGTTGGACTTTCAGCTGTTGCAATTTATATTGTATTTGTAATGTGCATTTTATTTTATTTTTTGTGTGTGTAAACTACCCAGAGAATTTGGTTGGATGGGTAGTATACAAATGTAGTAAATAAATAAAATTGGCAGCACCACTTTCAGACTGCATGTGCAGGAAATCACACCTGCTACATTAAAAAAATAAATAAATCTCCCTTTAAATAAGAAAGCCAGCATAATTAGTAAAGGGCTAGGCTAAAACCTTTCTCCCTGATATGCTAGCTTCCAACTTGCAGGAAGCTTTTAAGATGAGACTGAATCTAAAAGTGATGTCTCTCAATCGCAGCCTAAAGTGGCAAAACCCATTCTAGCTTTCTGCGCTCCAACATCCCATTTGACGGCTTGTGTAGCTCATGTCTCCAAGTTAGCAGTTCAAAACATCTCTGTAGCAACAAAGTTCCCCCCCTAATTGCACCTAATTTAGCCTCCATTTACATTTATGTTTTCTTTTTTACAATGTTATGCAAAGTAACAGAAGACAAAACAGTTTTACTTTGAGTTTTAGTGCTTAGCTCGAAAGGGTGGCGCTGTGGTCTAAACCACTGCTTGCCGATCAGAAGGTCGGTGGTTCGAATCTGCACAACTGAGTGAGCTCCTGTTGCTCTGTCCCAGCTCCTGCCTACCTAGTAGTTTCGAAAGCATGCCAGTGCAAGTAGATAAATAGGTACTGCTGTGGTGGGAAGGTAAACGGCATTTCTGTGCATTCGAGTTTCCATCACGGTGTTCTGTTGCGCCAGAAGTGGTTTAGTCATGCTGGCCACATGACACAGAAAGCTGTCTGTAACAAACGCCAGCTCTCTCGGCCTGAAAGCGAGATGAGCGCCACAACCCCATAATCACCTTTGACTGGACTTAACCATACAGGGGTCCTTTACCTTTCTTTTTTTCTTTTGGCTCCATAAATATCAAACAACAGAAAATATCCAGTAATTCATTAAAACATAGATGTTACTTACGGCTGCAAACGTCCCATTCCAGATTCTGGTAGAAACATTAACATAATACTCTGCTTTCAGTGCGATGTCTTTTAGTGTGCAAGTAATTGTGTCACATCGGACATTCTTGCAGTTCTTTTGCAAAAAAAGGGGGGATGATGATAATATAACATTAAAATGTGTCAGTATAAGCAATTCACTAATTTTATTCTATTTTAGGAATTCATCGTTTCTCATTAATAGTTATTCCACAGTTCAGCAGAAACCTGCAGCGTTGTAGAACATAAAGCTACGTTGCTGATTTGAAGAGCTCCGCACATTATACAGTAACAGATCTGGGTTGCCACTCAACATACTATCAATATCCTGGCTCTTGATGAGTGTGCCTGTATGACACAGGTGTTTCAAACTTATGTTTGTTTCATTCACACTTTACAATTCCAAGTGTGCATTTAAATCTAACTGTGCACTTAGAGAAACACCTTAAAATCAATGGCAAATGAATATATCAAAGTATAGTTTTACAATCATATTTCTGTGTCAGGTAAACGACCTGAGATAGCAAAGGAGGAAAACATATAATTTCATCTCTAGTCTGCTACCCAAAGCACCAACTCTTCCAGCTGTAAGAATTTTTCCATGGGATACTACAAGCAACCTGTAAATTCTGACATATAGTCACCCTGAATTTTCCATTTCCTTTCACACAGGACAGTTTCTAGTTAAGACAGAGCTGGTTAATCCGAACCACATGACGATTTAAGTCATAGGTGCTAGACTGATGTGTGGGGTGTATGAAGCCCCTAAACTGAACTACGAGGTGTCCAGGTATTCACTTTCTATAAATAACAATGAAATAACTAGGGTCTCAGCCCCTGCTGTCATAAATTCAACTCACCAATTCTTTCATAGCTTTGAAGTTCTCCTTCCTAAATGACACAGTATAGCTTTGTTGTCCTATTTTATATGGATTGATCCGTGCATCACAGCTGATATCCGTACCCTAGAAAGAGTATACAAATTAATAATAATAATAATGGATGTGACGGACCACATGGAGATTTTATCTAGCTGATTAGCTCATGCCCACACAGCCAGATTGGGCGGGGTACAAATAATAAATTATTATTATTATTATTATTATTATTATTATTATTATTATTATTTTATCAATGCAATGGCCTTACTGCTTGTGACAAATAAAAAAATGTATTATTGAACTAGAACTGACAGGACATTTCACAAAAGCAGAAGGCAGCATTTCTGTTTTGCAGCCCCCACTGCATTAAGTTCAATGCTTTTCACATCTCTTAAGAGTAAAGTCCAATTGAGCACAGATGGCTTTACTCCCATACTTGATGGCAGCCTTGAACTACACGCATCCATACCTACTCAGAAGTAAGGCTCACCAGTTTAAGGGAACTTACTCCCATGTAAGTATGTATAGGATTGCAGCCTTAATCAGTGGCAAAACAATGGAATGGTGGTGCAGGATGTCCTAGCATTGTTAATCTTTCCATATTGCATTGCATTCATGTCACCTTTATTACCGTGTTGTAAACTAGATTCAGGTAGGTAGCCGTGTTGGTCTGACGCAGTTGAAATAAATTTAAAAAATTTAAAAATTGTCCAGTAGCACCTTAGAGACCAACTAAGTTTGTTCTGGGTATAAGCTTTTGTGTGCATGCACATTTCTTGAGATACACTGAAACAGAAGTCACCAGATCCTTATATATAGTGGGATGGTGGGGTGGGGTTTTTCTCAGAAGGGTAGTAGGAGATGGGTAATTGACTCAACCTGTTGAGAACTGTTAATGACTGCAGTTAATCCTAGAGGAAAAAGCAAGAGATAGTATGCAGATGACCAAACTGTAAACTATAATTAAAATATCTAGACTATCTTTTCACCTGACTGGTGTGCAGAGCTGTCACATACATCAATGGACTGTTTCCTTCGGTGTGCTCTGGAATACGGATCTTTAAATATGCCATGCTTACTGGAATACTTCCTGTGGTGACCTGAAAAACAAAGAATTATCTGGATAACCTCCTGCAGATGTTGGCTTATCTTGTAAGACTTGTTTTCTGTTATTACTAACAGTGGGAAAGTGCAAGTTTTAAAAATGGTTACTACTATAAAATGTATGCGCTTATGAACTGAACTTGTAGAACCACAATCAAAGCACAGTGCAGAATTTGGACTCTAGGGCAGAATTTGCCTTCCTAAAAGCTTTCACTTAACCTTAAAAAAAAGAAAGATACACAGCATTCTAATTCTCAATGTCAAAACAATTCTATGAAGATGTGCAGGGAGTATTTTCTCAAGGCATTGAATTCAGAACAAGGATTGCAGAAAGCTTCCAGCAGCCAAGGGATATGATTTCAGTGCTCCATACAGTTTTCCTAGCTCCTCTTCTCATTCTCTATAATGCTTTTCTTGGCCCACATACCCTCCCATTCCTCATTATTTAACATGTCATTTTTTTTGTTAAGACACTGGATTCTCAAAAACAAAATTCAGAAACCCTTGGATGCCAACAAAAAAATCTAAGCATAGAATGTTGGGGTTTTCTGGGTGTGAAGTCAGGGTGTGATGGCATGTGTGCATTTGGCTTAAAAATGGCAAAGTTTCCAAAACATTAAGCCTTCAGGCAAAGCATAGGCACAGGGCTTTGTATGCACAGCTGCAACGTGGAAAGGGTCCCAGATGTTCACTAGTGAAACTCAATGAGTCCCTTCAGCACAGTCTTGTCAGACACACCCATCATCATTGTGTCAGATGATGAGGATCCCTGGTCACTTTCTCTCTTAATGCAACACACCTCGCCAAATTGTCGTGAGGATATAACAGGGTGAGGCCATGTATGTGGTTTTCAGATACTTGCAGCAAAGGCAGGATATTAATAAATGCAGATAAATTAAGAACCTAAACATAAAATAGGTCAGGGGTTTCTTTACCTTTTTAAACATAAACTAGTGGTGCTACTGGTGGAAGACCTTAGGTCTAGAGCAAAAGTAGACCATGATGAGCAGATGGGGTAAGTTTGATTTTCAAGTTTGCTCCCTCCCACATTCGCCCAGGGCTGTGCAGAAGCAGATATGTGGCAACCTACCCATGGCTCCGTTGTCCTTGGGAGTGGGATGTCCTGCTTATTCTCGCTCCAGCCCAATACGTTGCCCCTGGCCTAGTGCTTAGTTCAATATGCTTTAGGAGGAAATGCAAAAACTAAATATTTCTTAGGCATTTAAAAGCTAGCAGAAATATTTACCAACCTTAACAGAAAAATTGAACGCGGGTCCAATTTCATTGAAAGTGTTCACCGTTGAAGGGATGTGGTTATCCGAATAAACCTCATAAAAGTTCATTTGGGTAAACCTGAGCAGAAATAAGAGAATCAATAAGCATTCTTTTGGAAATCTTAATGTTTTTGTATTAAATCAGAGGCACTGAGTTCAGAAGCATATCTGGAAGAGATTTATTTATATATTGGTTTCTTTTTATTACGCCATCATGGGGGATAAGCCTATCAGTGGCTATTAGTCATGATGGCAGTGTACCGTGTCCAGTATTGGCAGCAGTATGCCTCTATATAGGGACGCGGGTGGCGCTGTGGGTTAAAGTAACCACTGAGCCTAGGACTTGCCGATTGGAAGGTCGGCGGTTCGAATCCCCACGACAGGGTGAGCTCCCGTTGCTCGGTCCCAGCACCTGCCAACCTAGCAGTTTGAAAACACATCAAAGTGCAAGTAGATAAATAGGTACTGCTCTGGCGGGAAGGTAAACGGAGTTTCTGTGCACTGCTCTGGTTCACCAGAAGCGGCTTAGTCATGCTGGCCACATGACCCGGAAGCTGTACGCTGGCTCCCTCAGCCAATAAAGTGAGATGAGCACTGCAACCCCAGAGTTGTCTGCGACTGGACCTAACGGTCAGGGGTCCCTTTACCTTTACCTATGCCTCTATATGCCAGTTGCTTAGAATCACAAGTGGGATCACTAGTTTTTACAGTTGCTCAGAATTTTGACTAGTCTTGTTAATGCAAAAACCGTTGGTCGTTTTAGAGTTACCTTGTTAAGTGAACTTCTGCATCATAGCGAAGTGGAACAGTTAGATTGACCTGATTGTTGGTATCATCCTCTTCATTGCTTGTGCTATCAATAACAAAAAGAACTACATATTTTAAACGCCCAATGCATTTATAAACACAGGCTGATAATAATACCTTAACTGTTGCTATAAGCTGCAAGTAACATGCCAAAAATGTTATACGAAATATTATACTATACCTCAGAGCTTGAAAACGCAGAACTGCCAGATTCTGAAGATTTTTCAAATTAAAGTCAAAATGAACATCAAATGATACCTACGAAAAACAGAGATAAAAGATGAAATTAAAATAAGCAAAGCTGCTTTCAATTATCATTTACAACAGTGACCCGGTCTGCACATAGCACTAAGCCAAATCATGGCTTGGAATGAATGAGCAAACATGAGTTCTCAGAGCACCTTCCCCAGTCCCACATTTGCCAGGCCTCCTGGGGCTAAGCCATTGTTTGGCTTAGCATTACACCTGAACCCAGGTTCACTGTCTGTCTCGCTCCAAGCACATATACCTGTACATACTACAGTTGGTTTCTGTGCTTCAGATGATCTGAGGTTGATATATTATACTAGTATCAACTTGTTAGTTTAGTTATAAAGCAGGGGATATCCATGGAAATAAAAGTATCACAGCTGTTAAATTAGAATTTAATATTCACCTATAACTATTAATAGTAAAAGTATTGCAATAGTTTGTGTTCAGCTTTTAGCCATCAAATATTTCAGCAAGTTACTATGTGCTGAAGCTAAACACCGAGGGGCCTGTCTTAAAGAAATACAGTGGTGCCTTGCAAGATGAAATTAATTCGTTCCGCAAGTTTTTTCTTCTTGCGAGTTTTTTGTCTTGCAAATCACGGTTTCCCATAGGAATGCATTGAAAATCAATCAATGCGTTCCTATGGAGACCGTCCGGGGACAGAGGGGAAGCGCCGCGCGCCTTCCCCTCTGTCCCCGGACCTGTTTTAAAGCAAAGGAAGGGGCAGCGGGGAGAATCGCTTCTCCCCGTTGCCACCCCTTGGTTCAAAAGGGGTCCGGGGAGAGAGGGGAAGGCGCGCGCGCCTTCCCCTCTGTCCCCGGAGATTGCGGGGCTGGCAACGGGGAGAAGCGATCTTCTCCCCGCCGCCCCTTGCTTCAAAAGAGGTCCGGGGACAGCGGGGAAGACGCGCTGCAAGCCCATAGGGAAATGCGTCTTGCAAAGCGGCTAAGAAAACGAAAAACTCCTTCGTCTAGAGAGTTTTTCGTCTTCCGAGGCGTTCGTCTTGCGGGGTACCACTGCATTGATGAGTCAGCTGTAAATATGCATTGCTTTCCCAACACCACAAAATCAGAAGCATTGGCACTGATGCAATGAAAACCACACTGATTCCTAATACTTACCCTGTTGACTGTAACTGGGAGGCCAAGAGGTGCATTATACCTCTGAATTTTATCCTAAGGTGGATAAGGGCAACTATCCCCCCCCCCCAAATCTGTGACATGCACACCATAAGGAGACTATGATTCTTTCACTGGGAATCTTATGGAGCCAATTTTTCACAAAGGAAATTCAATTGGTTAGAATCAGAGTTCTGGGATGCTTGTTTACATCAGCAGAGCTACAATACACATGCATGAAGTCAAAGCTGATTGTTTCTGCAAAACCTAGAAATACATAGGAACTCTAAGAGATACCTGTTGTCCTGTTTTAAACACAGGGTAGCTGATTTGGCAGACAACAAGCTGTTGGATAGTGGTCATCTGACATGAAACTTCAGTTCCGTCTACCTAAAAGTAACAAGCAGACATTTTTCAGCATTAAACTGTAGAACAGAAACAGAGGATGCTTGCATTATGTAGTGCTTACTCTGAAGTAAGTGGTTATAACACTGAAAGGCTCATACACTGGGGTGGGAGAAAAAGTGCACAAGTCAGTTGATTTTTCCACTAAGCGTTAAGATGGCTGGCTCATTTCTTTCTTAAGCTTGGCAAACTGAACTACTAGAATTAGGCTGCAATTCTAAAACATGATTACTAGGGAGAAAGTCCCACTAAACTCAATGGGACTTCTGAGTAAACATGTTTAGGACTACACTGCACAGGTCTGATTTGTGACAAAATAGAACATTATGCAGTTTTGATATTTCAGGGCATATATTTTCAACGGTGAAGAGATTGGGTGGGATTCACACCGTAACAAAAGGGCACAAATCTAAAAGTACCGTATTTTTTCATGTATAACACGCCCCCCCCCCCCTGTATAAGACGACCCCTATTTTTGGGGACTCAAATTTAAGAAAATGGGGGGAGATGGCCCTGAGTTGTTGAACTTTTGGGGGTGGGGAATGATGAAAATCACTAACCAGAATCAAAATGCTTACAATCCCTCGTGTTGCCAAATCAAACAAGTGTTTGCCCGCTTGCCAACAGCAACCCGCAATCTCAGCCAATCCACAACAGCCCTTTCTGCAGCAACCAATCACCCACCCAATTACCACAGCACCAGCCAATCCAAAGCAGCCCTTGCAGCAGCTACCAATCAACCACCAAATCGCCACTGACAAGCTCCTGCTCACGGCTGCAACCAATCACCCCCCCCATGCACTATCCGTGTATAAGACGACCCCCATTTTTAAACATTATTTAAGAGTAAAAAAAAATCATCTTTTACATGGAAAAGTACGGTAAATACTCTTCAAAAAATAATAAGTCGCATCACTACCACCAATGACAGCGGTAGAAACTGAAATAAACATTACACGTACAGGTGAAGAAGATGAAGCAAAAAACAAGTTTTCGGAAAAAGCAATTTGAATTCTGGTGTTGTATGCATTTTCCTTCTGGTTTCTCAGTTTCACACTGAATATCAATCTTTTGTTCTTACTGCTGATAACAAAGTGTTGTTTGCTGTTGCCAGGGAGGAAAAGGAAGAACAGAAACACACAGTTAATGTGGTTGAACTCGAGTCTACAAGGTATAGATACACACACACACACACACACACACACACACTGGCAGAGGAAGAGGAGTGCGGGGGGAGCGCACCTCCCCCCGCAGCGCGATCCTGGTAGGGTGCCATCGTGGGTGCCCCCTTGCCCATGCTGGGCGCCCCCCGCCCCCAGGACGTGCACCGTGCCCCCGGGAAGTGTGCCAGCCCCACCCCTGCCTGGTCTCCGCCCCCCCCCCCCGGTGCTGGAGCATGAAGCTCCGCCATTGTGTGTGTGTGTGTGTGTGTGTGTGTGTATGTAATACAAAGCCCAACCTGAAATGTTGAACCAAGATGCAAAATTGGGTCTTACCCATTATTTCCTTTCTGTTGAACATCAAGCACAAGGTCCATATTGCAGACTTCATCCTCACCGCAATCTTTAACAAATGGTATCTACAAAATAAAATTAAAATAAAATTTAAAAAATACTCCCATCTTCTTTGTTCAAGGTAGGGAGATCCATATTTCTTTTTAGTCTTCTTTGGGAGCAAGAAGGGGAAAGAAATTTATTGCATAAAAATGAAATAAAAATGCAAACAGCTGTTATTAGTTCCTAAGTGTCATACTAAGGGTCTCTATATGGTTCTCTCTATAATCTATGCCAATAAATTAACACATTTATAATTCTGTAACCCAACTCTTGCCCGAAGAATACTCAAATTTTTTGAACTATGTAAGTTCAAGAAAATATGCTCGCTTCGCCTTTCTTCGTATCATTTATTCTGCTTTTACTGTAATGAGGCTGACAAAGAGATGTTGAATGTACTTAAGCCTCACACCACCCTCTCCAGATCCTTTCCGTCTCCCAGTATCTTTCCAATACCTCACCTGGTCTGCTTTCAAGTGTATCATGAGGTTTTGTTTTTTTGTTTTCTGAAAATATAACTATTACAATTTTTAAAAGTGCTTTAATTGATTAAATAAATAAACCTCAACTTTAAATGAAAGTTGAGACTTTTGGGATTAGTGATGGGAAGGCCCTACTTAGGATCTCACCGGATCTAAATTCACACTTAGATCTCAATTCACACTCAGAAAAAAACTGAACTTCCCAACTCCTCCATGGGTGGGTAGGTGGGTGGGTAAGGCAGGAAATAACCCAGCCTTTTCCTGAATCAATCTGAAATCAATGGAGAAATCAATCTCTCTATACATTTCAGTAGGTAAAAAGGTAAAGGACCCCTGGATGGTTAAGTCCAGTCAAAGTTGACTATGGACTTGTGGTGCTCATCTCGCTTTCAAGCCGAGGGAGCCGGCGTTTGTCCACAAACAGCTTTCCAGGTCATGTGGCCAGCATAACTAAACCGATACTGGCGCAACAGAATACCGTGACGGAAACCAGAGAACACGGAAACGGTGTTTACCTTCCCGCCACAGCGGTACTTATTTATCTACTTGCACTGGTGTGCTTTCAAACTGCTAGGCTGGCAGAAGCTGGGACAGAGCAACGGGAGCTCACTCTGTTGCGGTGATTCAAACCGCTGACCTTCTGATTGGCAAGCCCAAGAGGCTCAGTGGTTTAGACCACAGCGCCGATTTAAGGAGATTAACAGCTCTCTTTGTTGACATGCTGCTGCTGCTGCTGAGCAGACAGAAATTCGCCATTGAAGGCCGTCTTTTTCTGACAGCGGCAGGTTGCTATTTGCTCCCACCAGGCATTTTGCAAATGGATGGTAAGCCAGGAAGTATCCTCTGATGAAATTTTCAATGTGAGTCAGGATTTGGGGGCTTGTAAATCTGTTCTCAACTGAGGCATTGCTAATCCCTGAACCTTGAATCTGGGTCCAAAGAATGCTGACTCCTGTGCTTGTTAACAAATTCTATATTTTTAGCCTAGTCATGGCACTGATAGGTTTAGCCAATCAGTGCCACTAAAACAACCTAGTTTTCTGTTACTATAGTGGGACTCATATTGATCATGTGTCAACTTATTGATTATGCAGCAAGAGTAATGTGTGTTAATATACTTACACTGTAAGTAACAGATGCAGGGGAAGTTTTATCAAGAGCAGGACTTGAACCAGGATTACTGAGGCCAATATCAACACGCACACTAAGAGAGTTGACAGCATCAGAGGGCTCCTATAAACACAAACATAGAAACACAAACCACCAACTGAAATCTGTTCAGTTAATATTTCTCATATACACAACTGCTGGCTGAGAATACCTGTAATTCAATGGTCCAAATGGTCCAAATGATCTGATACTCTGATAAATAATATTGAATTTTTTTAAAAAATACACTGCATTCTGCCGAACATTTTGTTTTTGTTCAAGACTTACCACAGTACTACCCCTTCCTAATTACATTTACCCAAACCATGGGGAGTGGCTGAGTGATTGAACACAGGGCTCTAGGAAAGAGGTGACACTACAACTCCCATCCATCTTAGCTGTTGGGCATCTTGTCTGGGACTGATGGGTGCTGCAGTCTAACACTATCTGGAGGGCCACAGGTCCCACACCCCTGCTCTAGCAGATCTGCTGGAAGGACCGCTTGGGGAAAGGCCACTGATCAGGGTCGGAGCACATGCTTTGCATGCAGTTATCAAGTTAGATCTGAGAACTTGTCTACTCTGTAGTATCTGCATCAGAGGACCTTCTCTGGATGACAATGCTTCAAAAGTGAGGTGACTGGTGAGCACCCCAGTTGTGGTGGTGGCACCCCAGTTGTGGGATATTGCATCCCAGAGGCCAATTGCTGGCACTTAGTTTTATCTTATTTCTTTCTTTGTTTCTTCATTCAGTTTATACCTCAACCCTTCACCTCAAAGGATCCCAAGGTCAGGGCCGTCTTTACCTGGGGGTGCAAGGGGTATGGCGCACCCAGGTGCCAAATTCTGGGGGGCACCCGCCACTGAAGCCGCCTAAGCTGCCTGGGTGATTGCAATCGATGGGTCATTTCCATTCCGTTCTCTTTTGCGGAAGAGCTGAATTCCACTGAAAAGGCCCTGTCAATACCAGCTGGGCAGTCCCCAGTGGAAGCACCTCCTCTGCCAGTCCTAAGGTCTGAGATGGTTGTTATTGATAGGAGGTGATGGAGCTTATATACAGTTGCCAGTGGAGCATTCCATCATATGATCTCTCTATGGCTGTCTGAAGTTGTACAAATATATATATATATATATATATATATATATATATATGTTGTTGTTGTTTAGTCGTTTAGTCATGTTCGACTCTTCGTGACCCCATGGACCAGAGCACACCAGGCACTCCTGTCTTCATATATATATATATATATATATATATATATAGTCCAGTAGCACCTTAGAGACCAACTAAGTTTGTTCTTGGTATGAGCTTTCGTGTGCATGCACACTTCTTCAGCAATCACAAAAGCTCATACCAAGAACAAACTTAGTTGGTCTCTAAGGTGCTACTGGACAATTTTTTTATTTTTTATATATATATATTTCTACTGCGTCAGACCAACACAGCTACCTACCTGAATCTAAAACCATGAAGTTATACAGGCAGACTAGCTGCAAGCTGCAACTGTTATCTGCTGTTTGCAAGGGCCAGGCCACAACCATTCATTTCTACAAATATGCATAACATATAGCTCAGTTAGCTAATATCTACCTGAACATTAAAAACATGCTCCTTGCAGTTCTCCGTGGAGCGGACTAGGATATTATTCTGTAGATACCTCTCCTTATTTTCTTTAAACAATCCTCGGGAAGTCACTCGAGAGGACAAGAGATCAGCATCCAATGTCAGGTTGTATCTGATATCTTAAAAGGGGGGGGGAAAGGTACATATTTCAAAGGAATCTGTTTGTTCATTGTGAAATTTATATTGCACCCTTCTGATGCAAATGTATTACTCGGGGCAACTTACAACAAAAAAACTTCAACTTCAAACATCAATTGAAAAACACGCCATATTTTCACGATCCTTTATAACTGCTCTTCAGCAGCCCAGTGAAAAAGAAGACAAGAGAAAAAGTTGTGAAGGAAAGGGAATTTCAGCTAGTATGAATTGTCAAGAACACAAGATAAAATTATATCTCCTACACAATTATTCAAGGAGCATCTGGTTACCCTACTGTGAGGGGCGGGGGGAGCCTAAGTTAACATATATTTGTTCATACACAAATAACTGGAATATTCAGTACTATACCTGCCCTGGTGATGCACTGGTGCTGTCCACAGAAGGACAAGAAATTTTGCATTTTTGATACAGCTTTTCAGCGGCACAACCACACATATCTCCTTTATTCTTTTATTTGCAATTATTTAAAATATTTCCATCCCAGCCTTAGAAGTAAGAATTTTACTTAAATCAACAATGCAACCCTATTCATGTCTACTCGGGAGTAAATCCTACTGAGTCTAGTGAAGGGGATCTTGCAATTGCAGCCTTACAGTAGTAGGTCATCTTGCCCCAACAAGTAATACTCTTTTTTTAAAAAAAAAAATCATGTAAAACAAGACTGTAGAAATACTTACCCACTTGATTTGTTCTGTGAGCAGGTCTAAAGGTTGCACTGAAACATATGTGGAGAACTACCTCAGTATTCCTGTTTAGCAAGCTTATCTTCTTCGGTGTAGCTGATACATGTATGGACACAGCAGCAATACTCTGAGACCTGAAATACAAACAGGCAGATTCGCCTGTAAACTTAATTGCAAAAAAGGGAGATTTGTTCTGAGGAGGCATCTATCTAGAATTTATACTTAAAAAATCAACAGTCAATTAGGCTGCATTCGTATACACACTTAATAGGAAGCTAGTCCCATAGAATATAGTGGGACTTAAGCCTCAGGCTAAACATATATTCAACACTGAGTTGAATACCACCCTAAATTTCTTTCTGTCATTCAGAATTAAGTTAGGGACTGGAAGAGAAGCAGTGGAAGAAGGGCCATTAAAGATATTTGTTTTTTTTTTAAAAAAATAAAATAAAATCCACCTCTCACCAGAGTTGAATCACGTTTCCATCAGAGCCCACAGATACATCAGTGATCCCATCACCATTTAAATCACTATGGCCATCTACTGATCTTCCAAAATACTGGAGCTGCTGTCCAAACGCAGGGTCTGATCCCAAAATTTTCTGAGAAGAGAAATGTTTGCATCAGGCATGTTGATGTTTTCAGTCACATATGGGTTATTTTGAGGATTCTCCCTTGCTCAAATGTTTCATATTAGCAATGAAGCTGTCGTTATTGATTTTCATCATTGGCTTTTGAGTTAGTTTGAAAAGCACATGCATCTGACAAAGTAGTATCTAGCCTTGCAAACATAATTCCACAATCAATGTATTCACCTTTAAAGTGCCACAAGACCTTAACAGTAAACAAACAAACAAATAATCAGTAGCTGTATGGTTAATTATTTCCACATTTTTAAAATTATTATACAGTTGTACCTCGGGTTACATACGCTTCAGGTTACATACGCTTCAGGTTACAGACTCCGCCAACCCAGAAATAGTGCTTCAGGTTAAGAACTTTGCTTCAGGATGAGAACAGAAATCGTGCTCCGGCGGCACAGCAGCAGCAGGAGGCCCCATTAGCTAAAGTGGTGCTTCAGGTTAAGAACCACTTCAGGTTAAGTACAGACCTTCGGAACGAATTAAGTACTTAACCCGAGGTACCACTGTACTACATTTATATTCCATTTTCCTTTATTTCCATTATTCTCCCACCCTATTTTATCTTTGCAACAGTTCTGTGAAATACATTAGGCTGAAAGACAGAAACTGAGCCAAGTCACACAATGAACTTCATAACCAATCCTATCAAGCAATGCTAATGAGGGGCTGGGGATTATTAGATCATTTGAGCGCCACCAGATCTGAGGTCCTATTGGACGGGCCTCCTCATCTGATTTTAAACTACAGGGAGGTTCACATGGGAACAGGAACTAGGATTTGCAATGAAAGATTTTGTTCCTCAGAGTCATACAGTGTAATGACAGAAAAGGCCCATAAAACATGCAAGATACCAACAAAAAGAGAGGACAAATAACCATGCTTAGAGCCTGGGCAAAACTTTAAATCAGGGTTGGGGAATCTGTGGCCCACCAAATATTGCTAGACTCTAGCTCCCCTCAGTCCCAGCCAAAACAGCCAATGTCTAGGTATGACTGTTCAGACCAGAGAACAGTTCAGACCAGGAGCAGACCTAATTTATAGCATTCTGTAAAAAAAAGTAATTTACCTGGGAATATTTAGTGTGTATTGTCCTCTGTTTACCATTGTAAATGTAGATAGCACCAGCATTCTGGTTTTCTAGTAGCGCTCCAACTATCACATCATTGAAACCATCCAAATCGATATCTGAAGCAACAGCGATAGCAGATCCATACCGAGTGTTTTCAGTCCCTTGAGGCCCTTCTAGAAGTTCTTGTTTGCCCAAAATGCCCTTTGAGAAAAGGCCAGAGAAAGAGGGGGCTTGCATTAGAGTTTTATGAAACACACTAGACAAATATTCTTGAACCTGAATGCAATTCTTTGAAAAAGAAATGGAATTTCCTAGTTCTTACAAAACAGAAAAATCAGAGGTGGAAATTCTTCTTCCCTTGTCTATTTTTGCTGTGCCAACTATAAAGGAAGTCCTAAAAACAGACACAAGTAATAAAAACTTTCCATTAAGCATCTCAGGAATTATTGCAAAGGTATGTAGCTTCTGCATACTTCCCAATATTATCAGTAATTATTGCTGTCTGCGTAAAATAGCGCAGTCATTCTATCAGGCTTATTGATCCAACTAAGGGGATTGTTTAAATGAAAGTCATCCTCAGTGGGTTGAAGGATACTGTGTTCAAATGGGTCTCTTGCCATTCCATTCATTCCAAGAGCTCACCAAGATGTACAGACAACTTGAAATTTATTTATTTATTTTTTTAAAAAAACAACACCACTTATCAGCTATTTGCAAGGGAGTGGATTTCATCTCCCCATTCTCCCTTGCCCATCAAATGACCTATTAGTAGAATTTCAAACATTTTGAAAGGTATCCATGCATGTAGTTACCCCATATACATGCTTTGGATGGATGAGAGCCAAATGGAATTTCTGGATTATCCACAGACCAAGTATTTAGGAAAACATCAGAGCTTTGAGCTACTCTCTTGGCATCCCAATATATTTTATGTACCTTTCTGACGGAAAACATATAGACTCTCCCTTCTTCTTTTTTTAACTCATTCATGAACATCGGTGCGCCAACCAAGAGCACATCTGTTACTGAATCGCCATTAACGTCCACGGAACATAGCACACTACCAAAGTAGGAACCAATCTGAAATGATAGAACATTTTTTATCAGACGGCACATGTCAGTGCCAGTTAGAGCCACACATTGTAGTCGGATTTGTACAGACAAGATACACAACTTTGGAAAGGCAAACTCGAAATGCAAGTAAATACCAGTTTTAAACTCTACTTGTGGCAGCTGGTGCCTGTGACATTTATACATATATAACACAAACAAGAAAACTCAATGCCAGCTTCTGCACTTGCCTGCTCTCCTCTTTGAGAATGAACAATAGTTACATTGCCGTGGACATCGATCTCATAAACCACCACTCTGCCTGTGTAGTTGGACCGTGGAGCACCAGCAACAAAATAGACAGCATCTTCCGCTGAAAGAACAGCAACAGAATAACCTGAAAAGCAAAGTCATAGTTATCGTTATCAAGTAACAGTGGTGCAGTTGTTCAAAAAGGCAACCGAGCATGAAAAGTATTCTAAAAGTGAAATGTAGATTTTATTTCGGTTGCTGCATGCCAAGGTCCTTATGACTTCTGGTCCAGCTACAGAAAGGAGGTTCTGATTAGCTGCAACCTTTGCTGGAAAAAACTTCACAAGCGAGCACTGCTAGCTGGCGTAACAACTCTGATACATATATTTTAGGACAAGTGATGATCTGGGACCATTCACATTAAATGCCAGGCTCTGAAACAGATGGAGCAAGGGGTGTTATGTTCCCCCTACATACATCTTCATGTTCTCTGTCATGTGGAACACAGCTGCATTCAGAAAAACCCACATCAAGACACACAAGCACTATTAACACACATGTGAAGACTCCATAGCCCTCAGGTGAGACACTGGGGGACCTCTGTTCTTGTCCTGAATGGACCAGGAAGTGGAGTGCCACTTTATTTCTAGTTTGACAAATACACAATTTACTACCCCATGATTTTATGGGTCTTTTTCTTTCCCAGATTCTGGGCTTTAGGAACCTTAAGTACCCAATTTTGACAATATTTCCTACTCCCTGCAGCCCATTGTACCCACTGAAAAGCTGTTTCTGGCTGTTTGAAATCCTCTGGAACAGTACAGGACTTGGCTTGGGGAGGGGGGCTGCAATCAGTAAGAGGGATTGGCAAGAATTGGGTGTCCTGCTTTTTGTGAGTGGAAGTGCTTTCTGCTAGCGCAAAGTTATCCACCAGACACAGCCCTTACTTAGCTGCCACATAATCCATTTTATAGCTTTTGCCTCAGCTATTTCTATTTTGATTATTTCTTGTCCAGAGTCTTGGTCTGAGAACTCTTTACAGTTTTTGCAAGCTTATGGATGCATATAGGGCTTGGTAACATCTCAAGAAAATAGCTCTGAAGTCCATAATGTTTTCCCCATTATAATATTTAATCATAGATATCAGGAGAAAGAATTCTCCATCACTTGCCAATATAATTCTGAAGTGACTGCCTTATGAGACTCATTTTGTACTTGTAAACCACATGAATAATCAAGGACCCCCATGAGTCTGCAGCCTCTCTCCTTCAAAAGGCATGTAGATAAGAATCAAAACAAGTTCCTAACACCCATATTGGTTTTTAGAAAACTGTATTTTATTAACCAATAAATTAGTTAAAAGACAAATTACTGTTCATTTAAAGAGAGCAAATGCTCGAAACATCTAGCAACAGTTCCCAAGTTCAAGTATCTAAAAAAATAAATAAAAATGTTCTGGAATGATAAATCTTTAAGTGGCTTTCCACAGTTCTAAAGCAGGAATGTGATAAAGAGTACCCAAGCACATTTGAGAAATATTTCACTCTGCCCTTTGAACCACTACCCTCACCTAAATAGGAGGTATGATTTCTGTCTTGCAAAACTTTTTCAAATGCTTCCTTGGGGAATATAGCAGCTTGTTTTGCTGTCTCCTGCACCACTGTTCCAGTCCACTCATAGGCCCCCACAGCACCCAGCACCAGAACTTCCTTAAGAGAAAGCAAAACAAAGGCAAACAGGGATTAAAATATACTCGGGTATTTTCAGTGAATGATTTTCAATGACACAAGAGGCAGTGACACATCCCCAACACAAGTCGTTTTCAATATACTTTTCTACTTATACATTTCTATCGTTTTGTGATTCTCTACCATTCTAACAGTTTCTTCTTCAAGTAAAAAAAGGTAGTATTGTAGAGTTTGGAGTCAGCGTGCTTGTGTTGTTCACTTGTGTTCCTTTGGTGGTGAGAGAGGTTGGGGTTGGCCTAGGGTGTGATTGTTTGTTTGTGATTGGCTGTGGTGATCTTTGTTTTCGTGTGTGAGTGAGGTGGGTGGGTGTTTTGAATCAGGTTAGCCATATTGATTTGTATGCTGTTGGTGGATTATTGTCATTGTCCTGTTGGGCTGTGTGTGTGATAAAGGGGAGCCATACCGGGGTGAAGGCATCTTCTTCTGTTTGTCCCCATGTCAGTTTCAGTTTATTAGTTAATTTTTTTAGTAGGGCTGTTTCCCATACTATTTGGTACATACATTAAGCATAATAGAAACACCGCTACCCGACCCCACCCCCATCCATCTCCCCTCCCTCCACTCCCCTTTCTTTTTTTCCCTTTTTTTTTCTTCTCCCCCTAATGCCTCAACAAATGAAACGGATTTGTAAAAATGTTACATGGAAGAAAAAAAAACACCAAGGCATTACACTTACACTGTAAAACAAGAAAACCCTTAATAATATATATATATATATATATTAAAAAAGGTAGTATTGTTGGCAATGTAAGTTAAATGCAGTGTTGGTTTACAAGCTGTTCATTACCTTTTGCTGCAAGTATGAAGCACTGAATCCCACTTGTGACATTTCCAACTGGAATAAATCACCTTGATCAGTACCTGGTGGGGGGGGAAATGATGTTTACTCATATGTCTATCACCAGTTACAAATAAATTTTGTGACACACTGATTTCAGTAGGTGGGAAACCTGTGCCCCCCCCCCAGAGATGTTGTTGGATTCCAACTCCTGTCAGAACCAGCCTGCATGGTCAAAAGCCAAGGATGATAGGGGGTTTGTAACGCAGCAACATCTGGCAAGTAACAGGTTAGCTAGCACTGGGTAGGATTGATTAGTAGAAAGGGAAACTCTTTATTTTAGTACCTTCTATGCTGAAAATTCGCTCTCCCAACGTTCCTGCTTCTTCTAAAAGTGCCGCCTCAGATGACACATTAAAGAAATATTTTGATGTGGGAACACTGGCAATTCCTTTGATTTCTTTGATTAAATTTCTAGTATCCATGTCTTGTCTAATTAAGTATCCTAATACCTTGAGGGGGAGGGGAAAGAATGTTCATGTGAATTTTAATAAGAAGTATTCAGATACATCTGTATTACATACTTGTTACAGAACATTTTTGTCTCCATTTTGTCTCTTCACACAACCTCTACTGGGCATAGCAGATCAAGTGAAAAGGGCTGTCTACCTAGTCACCACATGCTAACCCAGTGGTGAGCATGTTGGGGGGGGGGTACATGCATTTGGAGGGGAAGTGACTTGCTAAAGGAAATTACACTTTTCTTACTACCTCTATCTCCTGTTACTACTTCTGTCTCGGCCACGTGTATTTCTCTGCTAAGGTCATAATGGTTGGGGGGGGGATAGCACTTTGAGGGCATTTCAGCAGTTCTCACTGATGCCCACTTCAGACATTGCTTCATGTGTGCCTCACTATAAATTATTTCCTTGTGTAAACCACAATCAGGGAAACTTTTAAAAATGTGACATTTTCCTGATGTGGTTAGACTTAACGTTGTTCCCATCAGCTGGCGAGGTTACAATTAGGTGGGTCACAGAAGCAGATAACTGCGTGAAGATGAATACGCAAAGCACCTCTTTTGACTGAAATGGATCTAGAAGACCACACCGAAGACTTCTGTATGAAGAATGCAGCATCTATAGAGCTATGAACTTGAAAAATGCATATTGGGGATGAACATATATTTCAGTTTCTCTGTGCTTCCCATTTTTCCAAGCTTAAGTACAGTTCACTCCATTTCTGCACCAATTTGCAAATTTTTGCTTTAAAAGTCTGTGTGAAAATTCAAAAGCATTTTCATGCACCTTTATCCTAATATGTACATATATGGATGCAACTCTCTCAAATATATACATGTTTACAAGCAAGTTCTCCTAATATAATGCAGTTTTGTACGATAGTTTCACTGATACATGCATCTTTCTGCAGAGTTTTGGGTTGGAGAACTGCATCCCAAAATTTGGAGAAGTTCAAAATCTGATGGATAGCTGTGGTCCATCTTGTTTATTGGTTTGGGAAGTGTGAACTAGGCAGGTTTGCATGAAAATGTGACTCAAACAATTCCGCCCCCCCATCCCTTATGAATATTCCTCACAGAAGAGATACATTATAGACTCATTGTCACAATTATTTTAGTCCCCTTGTAATCCATGCATTAAAGATAGCAAGGGCTAAAGTTACAGTCGCAATAATGAAAGCCTTACTTACTGCTATGCCAAACCTAGTGATGTTGTCCTCATTACATTTAGTTATCACTTCTTGCATGTTCGAGCCATCATGTGATTCACCATCTGTCACAACAACCATGACTTTAGAGGCTGTTGGCCGCCCTCCAGCTTCTTTTGAGAAAGCGTTACGTCTGTAATGAACAGCATGTGTGATTTACTATATACAAATACTGCTTTATACGCATGCTTTCACGTAGTACTTTTACCACCAACAGAGTGAAGATGCAGAAAAACAGCATCACTACAAAATCCTTAGCTGATATCAAGTACATTAGCATTCATAGTATTCAAACATTGTTTTAATTTACCCTCACATACAGATATATATTTTTTGTCAGTGATAGAGTTGTTCTGTTTTAAATAAAAAAGAAGATCTCTGTTTAGCTGAGCATCAGCTGCTATTCGGTGTGCTTTACCTGGCATATTCAATTGCGCTGAATGTATTAGTTTGGACCCCTCCGTTCTGAAAGGTTTTTGACATTGCTTGTACAACATCTCCTTTATCTTGGTAAGTACTCAGGTTGAACACTACTCTTGGGTAAACACCATACTGAATCAAGCCTACCTAGAATTTCAGATAAAATTAAGAGGGAAAAGTGTTATAGTACTAACTAAATAAACCAGTGCAATACATCTATAAACTCCAGTTCCCATCAGCTCCAGCCAGCATTGCCAATGGCCAGGGAAGATGGAAGTTCTAAATTCAGCAGAATTTGAGGGGCGGGGGTGGGACACATGTTCCCCACTCCTAACATTAAAAAATGAAGCTTTACACTGCCAACTCATACATAGTGGGCTGTATCCAATGGTGGCTTTGCACTAACAGGAAAGACACCCCCCCATAAGGCATGGCTCTTCAGTTCTGCTGACCCTACCGCCTGTGCCCCAATTCTACGCACCTGAGTTTTTGTGGGACCTATATCTAAACCTTGAACAAACTTTTTCAAGAAATCCGATACAGCATGCCAGGGATGAATGCTGTTTGACTCATCACATACCACCACCACATCTATGGCAGAAGAACATTCTGCAAAAGAAGGGGACAGAAAAAGTCTGAGCCAGTTATTTCAGCAGCATAGTCCCTTGCCTTGTACTTAAAGCAATTAAATTGCTTACTGAATCATACTTAAGTACTTACTTTGCACAGCAGGGGAGAAACTTCTCATGATCTGGAAACTTGGGCTGAACTCAGAGCAGATCCCTGTTGCATAGTACTGGCTCCCACACTGTTGTGCCCACAAAGGGCCGCAAGTCTTTAAAAAGAAGAGGAAGAGGAATAAGCCTTTAGAAGTACCTATTACAACAAACCTAGACAGCATCTTAAAAAGTAGAGACATCACCCTGCCAACAAAGGTCCGTATAGTAAAAGCTATGGTTTTCCCAATAGTGATGTATAGAAGTGAGAACTGGACCATAAAGAAGACTGATCGCCGAAGAATTGATGCTTTTGAATTATGGTGCTGGAGGAGACTTGAGAGTCCCATGGACTGCAAGAAGATCAAACCTCTCCATTCTTAAGGAATTCAGCCCTGAGTGCTCACTGGAAGGACAGATCGTGAAGCTGAGGCTCCAATACTTTGGCCACCTCATGAGAAGAGAAGACTCCCTGGAAAAGACCCTGATATCATATTCACAAGTCATAGAATGAGGCCAGAAAACATTGCCCTCATTCAAATTGGGTCCAGATAGTATTGGAATGTAGCCAAATTAGAGTGAGGCCAACAGTTCCTGCCCTAATTCTGGCATCTTTTAGGCAAAGGGGGGAAATGCCCATCAGCGGTGGAGACGAGGATTGTTGCCACCACCAGAACCCCAAGGAGGCAGCAGAAAAAACCAGCAAGGACCCTTCCATTAAATCTTTCACACCCCCACACCCCAAAACCATTTCAGATCAGTAAAGGTCACCTGAAATTGTTTGTCTCAGCCATAGTTAGTTTCCCTCCCCTTAAATTTATTTCACGTTAACTGGAACTGGCCAGAAGATGGCATCATTCTAGTGAGCTTTTACTAGTAAGTTCTCCATTACTTCCAATTCACTGCATTCTTTTATGAGGACCAGCAATAAACAAGTTCAGCCCTAACCTTTCAGATCATCCCATGATTTGTAAAAGCCCAGGAACAGGTGTAGGTGTAGCCACATCCCCCCACCCCCCAAATCAAATCTACAATAAGGGGTGCAATTAATTATTAGGCGAAAGTATTCTGCAAGTCTGACATTCTTCTATAGCTCTCCTGCAGCCTTCCCTGACTTGGTGCCTTTGATATATTTTGGACCACAGCTTCCCTCATGCTGGCTAGGGCTGATAGAAATTGTAGTTTAAAACAGATGAAGGGCAACGTGTTGGGGAAGGCTGCTCTGCTGGGGAATGGGTTACATTTACTCCTTCCTGTGCAGCAATACTTTCAGGAAAATGTCCTGCTTCTTTCCTTAGAAAGGAAATTAATATACCTTTTTTTCTTATTCACAGATCACTTAGGTTACAATCCTAAGCACACTTACAAAGGAGTGAACCCCACTGTAGTCCAAGGGACTCACTTCTGAGTGTACAGTATAGAATTAGCGGTAGAGAGATCCCATGGAAAGGTTCCATTGCCTTCCTGTCCAACTCTATCTTATAACTGGACTTATAAAGCAAATGTGAATGCCTGTAGAAGTGGGCTTTGGTGCATCATGGTGGGCTGAGCATTGAAGAACACTAGGACCATAATGGAAGGGAAAAGATGGTGGAGGCAGAACGTGAGAAGAATCCTCAACAATCTGAGGGTATGTTGATTTACAGTGGTACCTCGGGTTACGAACTCAATTTGTTCCGGAGGTCTGTTCTTAACCCGAAACCATTCTTAACCTGAGGTGCGCTTTCGCTAATGGGGCCTCCTGCTGCCAAAGCACCGCTGGCATGCGATTTCCATTCTCATCCTGGGGCAAAGTTTGTAACCCGAGATACTACTTCCAGGTTAGCGGAGTTTGTAACTTGAGGTGTTTGTAACCCGAGGTACCACTGTATAGGACTGCATTGCAACAGTGTAATCCTATGGTATTGTTCCCCGAAGTAAGTTCCACTGAGTTCCGTGGGGGTCACTCCTTTGTTAAGCATATTTAGGACGATGTCCTTAATCTCTTTTGTTGTTTTAACAAAACAACAAAACCTGCGTCCTGCGTCCTTCCTGCGTCCTTCCAGAACTTAGTGGACCCCAACTCCCATCCACCCCAGCCAGCATGGCCAATGGTCAGGGATGATGGGAGCTGTAGTCTAGCAACACCTGGAGGGCCGCAGGTTCCCCAGGCCTCTTTTAAAATATCTGGAGCACAAGAAACAGCACAATAATGTTGTAGTTATTTATTGCATTGGCTGCGAGATAAAATAGAGGCAACCCTTCCATGAGGCATGGCAATGAAAGCTGCTTCAGATTCTGGACTGCAGTTCTATTAAAGTATTTCAGTTGCAATATTATAGATCAAATAACTTGTTTTTTAAAATAATGATAATTAAAAAGCAGAGGCAACAACAGTATGGAAAGGGTAGGCAGTATACTGTAATTACGTTTATAGCTGAAATCCTATACTTGCTTACGTGGCAGGAAGTCCCATTGGATTTAATGGGCCTTCCTTCTGAATAAATGGGTATTGGATTGCAATGTAAAGGTCTGTTGGTTCAGATATGTGCACAGCAATGGTGTGTTGGAGCGCCTTGCCTTCCAGATGATTTCTGCTGAATAGGCACATGGAGGAGTTGGCACATAGCAGTGATAGGAATTTTGGAACACAGAGCCTTCATAGTATGCCTCCTGCAAAACGTTTATTTAAATGGCTATTTTTCATCCATGCCACAGATAAAATTACAGCCTTGTCTTGATTTCCTATATCATCAGCACATTAGTCCTTTCCCTTTGTGTATTCATGTTCAAAATTTTAAGTATTTGTATTGCAATATGCATAACTCTTTGGTACATCTGCTTTTTAAAAAAAACAATTCCCACAAATGTTAGAGCAGCTTTAGACCTATAGCATAAGAAACATTGTGCATAATGCAAACAAGTCACAAGGGACTTGTTTTCGTTGCATCTGCAGCATGCAAGCTCAACACACTGAATACGTTTCTCAGGACTATGCAAATAACATGCACTAAAAGGTTTCTCGGAATGTAATTTCAGACTTCATTATCAACAAGCACAGGGAATGCTTCTGAAAGTGATCACAATTTTAAATGTTTGTAAATTTTGTGCGTCAGCATTATATAGTGCAATATGCACAACAAAGAACGAATCCCATTTTAAAGTCTAGACTCTAGATGATGGAAAAAGAAGTTTAACTCAAACTCTTTCCTGCCAACAATAACTCCAAGTATTTAGCTGCAATTATTTTCTCTTATCTAAGGACAATTGGCTTTGCAAGGCTTGGTCCCAGTTAGAAAACCACCAGAAACAATAAACTGAAATTCCAAGAAGAAATTGAATTGAGTCCAGTAGCTCATTGGTACCCAATGCTACCAATGGTGGCAAATGGTCCCATCAGATTGTTCCAATTACCAGCCTAAACAGCTGCATTCTTCATGATTATATCTGCCATCCAAATAAGCAGACAGCATCAGTTGAAATCTTAATTCCATGAAAGCTGTGGGTAGGAAATGTTAGATAAGTACCTTGCAATTTGATGATCCTTCTGAAAAGCAGCAAAGCACTAAGAGGAGCAATTATTATTAATCACTTCCTCCACTACAAGATATATGGAATTTTAGACTAGGTCAATGATTATTCTTTCTTTCTTTATTCATTGCTTTACACTCCAAGGATCTCAAGGCAACTTACATGAATGCAATGAAACATACAAAAGTATGTAAAATAAAATACCAGCCGCTTGCAATGCTACAATATGAAAACAATGAGCTAAGGAAATAACACCCACAGAAGCAGGAAAAGAACAACAATCAAATTCCAGTCTTTGTCTGGAACCGACTAGAAGACAATAAAAAACATTAAATTAGAGGGAAATGTTATTTACTATTTACCGTATTTTTCGCCCCATAGGACGCACCTAGTTTTTTTTGGGGGGGGAATAAAGAAATCCCCCCCCAGGCACGGGGCTAGCGCGGGGGAAGCCCAAGCTTCCCCCGACCCCAGCCCCCAGAACAGCCTGCTATCCACAAGCCTAGGGAGCCGCGCCGGTCTCCCCAGGCTTGCGGAGAGCTGCGCAAAGCCCAGGAGCGCTCTTCAGTGCGCCCCAGGCTTCGGAATGCAGGCAGCTCTGCGCAACCTTTGGGAGCCCGGCGCGGTTTCGTCCCGGGCTCCCGAAGGTTGCGCACAGCTGCGCGCTGCCTGGGACTGCAGGCAGCTTTGCGCAACCCTCCGGAGCCCTGCGCGAAGCCGCGCCGGGCTCCCGAAGGTTGCGCAGAGCTGCCTGCACTCCCGGACGGCACGCAGGGCTTTGTGAAGCCTGGAGAGCGAGAGGGGTCGGTGCACACCGACCCCTATCGCTTTCCAGGCTTCAGCGAAAGCCTGTATTCGTCCCATAGGAAGCACACGCATTTCCCCTTCATTTTTGAAGGGGGAAAAGTGCCTCCTATAGGGCGAAAAATACGGTATTTATTTTATTTATTGAATTTCTACACCGTCCTTCCTCCAAACGAAACAATATAAAAACACAGAAATGCACAACATAGTAGCATGCAAAAACGATACCCTCCCCATCAGTTTAAAAGGCCATAGATTGCTTAATTAGGCAAAGGCCTGAGAGAAGAGGAATGTTTTTGCCTAGTGCCTGAAGGTATGTAGCGAGGGTGCCAGGCGAGCCTCTCTGGGGAGAGCATTTCAAAAGTGGGGAGCCACCAAAGAAAAGGCCCGTTCTCATGTTGCCACCCTCTGGACCTCTCACAAGGAAGCCCATAGAGAAGGGCTTCAGATGATGAGTGCAGGCTCTGGGTCGGTTTACAAGCGGAGAGGCAGTCCTGAGCCATTTAAGGCTTTATAGGTAAAAACCAGCACTTTGAACTGAGCCCAGAAACTAATTAACAGCCAGAGTAGTCGGACCAGGATTGACATTATATGTACGTATAAGCAAACCCATTTATCACTGTAATTTATATCTTAACTCATTTGGATGAACTGCACTGAAGAAGGGACCCAAGAAAAGGTTATAGTTTCCCCAGTGACTGCCAAACAAGCTATATTTTATATTGCATCTCCAGCACTTACCAAAAATCCTCCGGTTATTGAGTTTCTTACTAGGGTTAATCCTAGATTCATATACTTCTTTATCTCAGTGGCATTTGGGACACTTGCGAAAGCTAAAAAGACACAATACAACAATACACACAATCAAGAAAAATTCAAGCTACCATTTTCAATGTAAGCAGCCAGAACCCTGTATATCTCTTACCTATGTCCCATATAATCCCCTAGAACAATACATGTGTGCTCTCTTAATAAGCATCATCTGTGAACTATTAGAAAAAGAAGAAGAAGAAGAAGTTTGGATTTGATGTCCCGCTTTATCACTAACCAAAGGAGTCTCAAAGCGGCTAACATTCTCCTTTCCCTTCCTCCCCCACAACAAACACTCTGTGAGGTGAGTGAGGCTGAGAGACTTCAGAGAAGTGTGACTAGCCCAAGGTCACCCAGCAACTACATGTGGAGGAGCAGGGAATCAAACCCGGTTCACCAGATTACGAGTCCACCGCTCTTAACCACTACACCACGCTGGCTCTCAAAAATTGTTTGTGGCAAGTATCCTCCATTCATGAAGTTGCTTTCCCCCAGAAACTCAGCACAGGGAGCAACTTAGGACCTTACTGTTCTGACTACCATTTGAGGCCGGGATAAATAATGCAAAAAACTTTATTTTTAGTAACAGAAGGTTATGTATTTCATTTATTTAGTACAGTCATTAGATCCCGCAATTCTTCCATCATAGGACTCAGGATAGCATACATGAGGTTCCCAGGGAATCTCCCATCCAGACACCAACCATACTCAATCCTGATTAGCTGCATCATGTGCCTTCAAACCATGCCCTGGTTTGCGTTAAACACATTGAGCTACTGAGCACAACACAAGCTCAAATAAATGTTCCTCACTTCTTATCTAGGGACTCTTAATTCTATCACACAGGCCATGTGCATTTCTTCCCAACTTGTGGCAAATTGCCATAGATTTCTGCCATGTGCAGAAATTCGAGTTGGCACCCCCCCCCATGCAGTTGCAACGATCTGCACTCAGCAGAACAAAATATATGACCATACATGCTATGTACATATCTTTCACAAAACAAAATGTAGGTTTTCAGTCTCTAAATAGAACTGAGCCTACATATACGTAGAGATGACAGCAGAGCCATCCCTGTTTAGCAATTGTTTTTATATGCTATAACCAACTTTGGGTGGATAAGAAAAAATAAGAAGAAGTACAATAATCAAGATGACGACGACGTACGCTGAGGTCCATAGGAAGAAAGGCAGGCTATACAATTTATTCTTTAATTTATTTGCTGAATTTAGAACTTACTCTGCAAGTTCATCTTTGAACATTGGGTTCCTGGTTGATTAACATCACACTTATAGACGTCGCCCATTCTGTTTCCTGGATATCCACTCCAGGGTGAACCAACAAGCAACCTGGAAAACAGACATATCTTTACAAACTGTATGGTCATTTCAGTTGAAAGACTCCACTCTGAAAACAGTAATTGAAAGTATGAGCTCAAGGTTACTACAATAATTATCTTTATGATTATTTCTTTGGTCTCTGTAAAACAAGGGTAGTCAACATGCTGCACGCCAGATGCTGTGGGCCACAATTCCCAACAGCACAGCCAATGGTCAGGAATCATGGGAACTGTAGTCAGTAACATCTGTCATGCAACATACTGAGTATTCATCATATGGCAGAAATGTATTTATAATTTTGCGTTCCTTCTGGCCAGTTCATTTTTTACATGGTAACATCTAGCCAATTTTACTACCTCATTTTCACTTGTGTGAGTGACTTTCCTCAACTAGGGAGTAGGCATTATTCTTGGCATCCATCCACCTCAAGAGACAATGGAGTGCGCCTCCATGGGTGAAGTCAAACTGCTGTGTTAACAGCACCAGAGTGATTTCTCTGGGGCAGAAGCCTGGGCAGTGTGTGTGGCAGTCCTGGGCTGCCTAGATGACAAGACCCAACTCTCACCCTCACTGATGTGGTCCAAAGGAAAGCAGAGCAAAACATTTGGCACCAGTTGGGCTGCAAGAGTTGCAGGAAGGAGGTGTACAAGGCACCCTTCAACTGTCTTAGGGACTCTACTCCCAATTTGTGTAGCTTACTCTTTAGCCTTTTCTTCTCCTGAAGATATCCCACAAGGCTGTGGAGGTTTAGGATCAGAGCTTTTCTTCTCCTAGATGTGATACCTTTCCAGGTTGATGAGCCCCAGCTGCCCCTTACTTCCCTCTACAGCACATGCAGAAACCATCTTCTTGACCATTGGACACACTATTGATCTTGTCCACTCAATGCACTAGAGCCTCTCTTCACATGCAGGGAAAGTCCCTAAGTCACCAAGGGTTTGAGACCCTAGTGAGTAGGCATTAGTGACAATATAATTATTACATGAGGCACACCTCCCTCTCTGCAAAGAAGGGTTAAATCTTTGCTATGTCAGTGGTAAGTAAAGGTTACTTACTATTCCAGTTGTGGAAACTTGGAAAATCTGTCACTGTGACTATTTCCAAGTTAACACCCAGAAAACACCCACCCACCACCACCCAAAAAAGTTCTCTTCCTACACCACATGGTCACTCAGAAGAGTGAGCTTTGAAAGGGTATTTTTATATAGCAGTACACCAAATCATGACCCTGTTGATTAAAATGATTTCCAGTTTGTGAAGCTTTTTTAAAACCCAGAACAGAAGAACATAAAATAGCTTGAAAGTCAACTTGATTTTTAAAAACAAGACATTTTTAAAAAGCAGAGAGAGAGAAGATCTCAAAAAAATATGGAAACATCTATCTTAGTTTCCATATCTATACAGATAATTAAGTGTAGTTAATCTCAGAAGCTAAATTTACTTATTTGTTTCTTTCAGGGTTAGGAACCTATGGCCTTCAGATGTTGTTGGCTTCTCAATGCCCATCACTGACACACAGCATAGCCAATGGTCTGAGACGTTGGGAGCTGCATTTCAGCAATACCTGGAGGGTCACTGGTTCCCCATTCTCAGATAATTTGGCTTGCTTGCTGTTTACGTTATACTCTGATTCTGCTGTTCTATGAACTTCCTGTCCTACCTTACACAATGCTATGACTAAATGTACAATACTACTGTGGAGTACTATTAGTCACCTTTCTAAGCATCATTCCACTAAATATTCTTTTAATGGGTCTGGATTTTAGGAAGTCAACAACTAAACAGACGCAACTGCAAACATACAGCAGACCGTGGGAGGGAGAAGATGAAAGTACAATGAGTTACTTGTAGGAGCCAAATTGTGACGTAGCTCCGAATCAGAAATGGGTGCAGCACAAAGTCAACTTTAAATCCTGTGCAAACACAAAGTCAATTTTGAATCCTTTGCAATCTGCAGTTGTTGGCACTCCTTTCTCTTTTCCTTGCATTGTTTAAAAGAAAGTTGACAAAGAAATTAATCAACAAGCCAAGGTGATGCAATTTAGAAGCACCAGTTGAATTTCTATTGCCAGAGTGGCCCAATCAGGAAACACTCACTGAATAAGCAAAAAAACAACACCTAAAAAGTTTAGCATAGACTTTTAAATTCAACTGTTCTAGTTCTGAAAACCCCCATTTTCAATATGTTGTTCTTATGTGGTAAAATATTACCACGTAAAAGTAGCATTACTAGGGGTTGCCTTAGCACAAGGGTGGGAAACATTATTTTACAGTCCACAGACTGTCCCACATGGACAATGCTTCAGGGCCTGCAAGCCAGTCCTGGCATGGCCAGAGGCAAAAGCAGATGGAGCATTACATGCCTTTGTCCAGCATGTCTTATTTCCACCATGCAGAAGTTCTACACACACCTATGCCCAGACACTTCCCTCTATTCAGGCAAGCAAGAGGCATCAGCATAGCTCAAGGACACATTCCAGGAAGGCAAGATGAGCTAGCAAGATGTGTGGCCTGGGGAGAGCCCTAAGGGTCAGAGAGAAAAGCCATACTTAACCCCTGGGCCTGAGCTCAACTGCTCACTGGGGCAGGTTTCTTTCAGGTATCCTGAAAAATTACCTCATCCCCTACATAACCAACCGATTTGCAGAAGCTCCCAAGTTTGATCCCCAGACACCCATCAGAAATTGTCAGTGTAGACAATAGTGAACCAGATGGGCTGCTGGGTCTGATTCGGTATAAGGCACCTTCCTGTGTTCCTAATATAGTTGCCCTTTGCTTTTCTCCCTGCACTATGAATGAAGAGCAGGAAATGCTTACCATTTGCCTTCTTGATTTATAAGCTGTTGGACTGTATATCCGAATTGTTCACTCGAGGGGCCAGAAAATACTCTTGCTCCTTGGAGCCCAACGTTGTATGCTTCACAGCGGTTTTCAAAGATGCCTATTGAGAGGAAGAGTGATTTATATGACCATAATAGAACAATTAAGAAAATAAGCCAACGTACTCCTGGTTCTTCATGCCGGTTCTGCTCAGCATGTGGGTATACAGGGCTTTTTTTGAGCCAGAACTCACCGGAACTCAGTTCTGGCACCACTCAGGTGAGTGCCATTGCCATTACAAGGCCTCAGTCATGGTGAGTTCCGGCACCTCTTTTTCCTTGAAAAACAGCACTGCGGGTATATATCTCATTTCCACAACTGCACTGGGAAAGGCACCAGCATAAGAACACAGGAAGGGCCTCGTTGGATCAGACCAAAGGCTTATCTAGTCCAACATTCTGTTCATATCAGACGGCCGACCCATGGGGAACCCACAAGCAGGGCATGGCACATTAGTGTATTCCCACAAATGGTACTGGGGCTGAATAAAGCAAATGGAGCAGATATTTTTATTGTTCTAAAAAATAAAAACCCTAGCCCTGAAAATAATAATAATAATAATTTATTTATACCCCACCCTCCCCAGCCAAGACAAGGCTCAGGGCGGCTAACACCAGGTATAAAAACAATTGGTTGAAATACAACTTAAAAAACAATATTAAAATACAACATTAAAATGCAGCCTCATTTCAGTAGAAACTCAAATCAAAAACTTCACCAAGGCTAACTATCCAGACTGGTCCTACGTGGGCCAGAAAAAAGCCAGGGAAGTCCCCAAGTAGGATAAAGGAAAAAGGATAGAGGCTAAGGGGATCAAGTTGATTCCAAGCCAAAGGCCAGGTGGAACAACTCTGTCTTACAGGCTCTGCAGAAAGAAATCAGATCCTGCAGGGCCCTGGTCTCATGAGTTGTTGAAAAGGCCCTGGCTCTGGTTGAGGCTAATCTGACTTCCTTAGGGCCCGGGACCTCTAGGGTCAAAGACACTGGCTTCAATTCCTCATGTGAAAAACGTAAGTGACAGCACTCTGCCTCAAGGGATGGTTTTGCATACATAGGATCTTAAAATGTTAGAGCTGACCCCTGCTCAATGCTGACTCTGTAAGTGAAGGATGGGTGTATAGCATCCTTGAAATACAATTGTCCAGCCACTGCTTAAGTATCTCCAACAAAGATGAGCTTGCCTCCCAAGGCAGTCAAACTGCTCTTCCTGTTAGGAAGTCTGTCCTAATGTTTATCTGAAAGTGGCTTCCTTTCTATTTCCTCCCACTGGTTCTAGTCCTGACCTCTGGAGAAACATAGAAGAAGTCTGTTCCGCCTTCTGTGTGCCCTCCAGATATATGAAGACAGCTTTATCTCATTAATTTCCTCTTCTCATGTGATCAAGCTGAATGGAGTTAACTCCACCCCCCTTGCATGGTCCTGCCTCCACCAACCATTTTACACCAGCATAAAGTCATCCAATCACAGCTCAGTTGGCTGAGTCCCTGCTCTCCAGGGACAAGGGTGTTGCATCTGTGTAGCTCCAGCTGAGCCAAGATGTTGGGTTTATGGGTAGTCTCGTAATCTGGGGAACCGGGTTCGCATCTCCGCTCCTCCACATGCAGCTGCTGGGTGACCTTGGGCCAGTCACACTTCTCTGAAGTCTCTCAGCCTCACTCACCTCACAGAGTGTTTGTTGTGGGGGAGGAAGGGAAAGGAGAATGTTAGCCGCTTTGAGACTCCTTAAAGGGAGTGAAAGGCGGGATATCAAATCCAAACTCTTCTTATGCTGGCATATCTCAGCTACACTGGGGATTGGCTGGCTTAAGACTGACCAGCTCCTAACTTCCTTATCCCGATAGATCTTGGGTTTGTATTGTCCTGTCAATACAGCAGTTTCAACTGGTCCTCAGACCCTATGGGGACTAGAATGGACCACTCAGCATCCTAGTTGCCTCCTCTGGGCAAACTCCAGTTTGTCAATGTCCTTCTTAAAATGTGGTGCCCAGATAGCAATATGTAAAAGATATTAAGAAGGTATTACATAAATGAGAAACTGCAAGCAACAAAGAAAGATAAGGGGTGCCTTCAACAGTATGCAGAATTAGGACTCAGTTAAAGGTAAAGGTAAAGGGACCCCTGACCATTAGGTCCAGTCGTGACCGACTCTGGGATTGCGGCACTCATCTCGCTTTATTGGCCGAGGGAGCTGGAGTACAGCTTCCGGGTCATGTGGCCAGCATGACTAAGCCGCTTCTGGCAAACCAGAGCAGTGCATGGAAATGCCGTTTACCTTCCCGCTGGAGCAGTACGTATTTATTTACTTATACTTTGACGTGCTTTCAAACTGCTAGGTTGGCAGGAGCAAGCACCGAGCAACAGGAGCTCACCCCGTCGTGGGGATTTGAACCGCCGACCTTCTGATCAGCAAGTTCTAGGCTCTGTGGTTTAACCCACAGCGCCAATATACAAATGTGACATTAGATGGCAACAATCAGCTATGCCAAATTCAACATCTTTTTCAAAATGATTTTTTAAAAGCATTTTCAGAGTGTTCTTTTAATATGTGTGTAGATTCCACCTTAATTATAACAGCAGAATGAACTTTGCACACAGTATGCTTTTTAAGGATCAGAATGTAAACACTCCAGGCTAACAATAAATGGTACACCCTCCAGGCTATCATTTTCTCTGCTAAAGGAAGTCTCTGAGACTATTTAACAGGGTTATAGTCCACTAGCTTTTACTCAGAGTAGTCCCACTGAAATCAATGGGTCTAAAGTTGGACATGGCCAGCAATCTTAATGGATCTACTTTGAGTATCAGTCAGTTGAATTCAGCCCATAATTATGAGGCTGTAGTCAACCAAGTCCTACTGAAAGCAGACCCATTGAAATTACGGAACCTCTTAGCCATATTCATTAACTTCAATGGGCCTACTTTGAGTGGGACTAGCATTGAATACTATCTGTTCTATGGAACTCCTGATATAGGATGGGATTCACTAAACAAAGCCACAGGGGCTTGTGCTCATTCAATGGGTCTTTCTCCCAGAATTCTCTCAAGGGGAGGGATCAGGAGAACTCCCAGAACAGCTTGAAGGAGGAAGGGGAAAGGGAAGAGAGGCAATTCCTTCCAGCAAGCTGGCAATGCTTGTGCAGACAGACCTTTCTTCACAGAGTGACGTTGAACCCAGCCCACGGGCAGCAAATTCAACAAAGCTGGAGCATGTAAACTTTTAATGCCCACAGGAAGTAATACAGTAATAACACTAAGCATATCTATATATGGGCTCATGCAAAATTGCTACTGAGTGAAATAATTTGTCATCTAAAGATAAACTACCAAAAAACCCCCACACAACCCCACTTCCTGTCTCATTAACTGCTGGACTGGAATTGTGTAGGAGGACAGCAAGAGACATAATAATGCAGTCATTTTCCAAACAGTCCTCCTTGAAATAGTCACAACCACTTACCAATCTTTTACTGACGTTTCAGATGCAAGGGGTTGGTCAATGAGTAGCTCTTGGAAAATAACCACTGGGCTCCTGTGGGGAATTGTACAGCTCAGACTGAAAGCCCTGAAGGCCAGGCACTGTTTTCCTTACTCAATATAACACAAGGGCAGCTGATCAGAGAAGAATTGTTTGTTTCTTTTAAGAGTGGTGACCCTTATTAAGATGCATAGTATATGCACATGGCACCCACAGTTTATATGTTGATTGGTTCAAGCTGCGCCCAGTGGCCAAGGAAAACCTCATGAAAATAAAATGAAAACAGGGATATCTGATGAAGCAACTAGTGTTTCCAAGAACAAAACACTCAGATTTGTTGTGGGAATTCGGGACTTTTTAAAATGAGGACACAAACTGCTTAGATATAAGAACTTCCTGGACAACACAACGGTGTTTGGCATTCCCAGGCAAGTCAAGGCTATGCTGTGTTGACAGTCTGGTCTGAAGATGTAAACTCTTTTTTACAGTCTTGGGTTGGTAGTACTCTGTGAAGCTCCAATGTTTGCCCGCTATCACCAACAAATGGTATACTTTCAGCTGATTTTTAAGATGTCTTCTTGTTTGTAAGTGAGGCTTTGGGACTACAGCTTAGCATATTTTTATAAAATTATAGACCAGTTTCCCATCAGAACACAGTTGAAAATATATTCATGTCCTTTATATTTATCAGTTAGTAATGCCTTTCCCCCCTTTCAAGCCCACTATGTTTCCAGCATTCAATGAGCATGGACCCTTGCTTAGCAAACGCTGAATTTAAAAGCTGAATTTATAGCTGTCTTTAGCTACAACCAGCTAAGGTCAAGTTCATATGTTCATCTGACTACAACAGCTATGTCTTTTATGTGTGAAGCATCCATTAGAGATCAAAGAAAGAACATTCATATCACCCATCACTTTAAACACTTGAAAAGTTCACACATCTAACAGTCACCGTCTCAATTATCTTTTTGGTACCTATTTAGGGCCTTCTATTTGCAACAAGCCTTTAGAATGAAGATTTTAATGCCAGTCTGTATCTGTACCAGACCTGAAATTGTTTTTACTGTGATTGTTATTATGGTTAAATTGCTTTGGGATGTTTTATTGGAAGCAATTCATAAATGAAACTAAGCAAGTAAACAGCTTTCCTGAGCCACCTGCCACCTTGTTAACGACTCCACCATGATTTCCTGACTTAACCCTGTTCCTTCCCCACCACTTGTCAGCCCCTGACTTTTTCTACCTTCCTTACCTCCATAAATCATAATAATAATATAATAATATCAATTTATTATTTATACCCCACACATCTGGCTGCGTTTCCCCAGCCACTCTGGGCGGCTCCCAATCGAGTATTAAAAACAATACAGCATTAAATATTAAAAACTTGCCTAAACAGGGCTGCCTTCAGATGTCATTTAAAAATAGGATAGTTGCTTATTTCCTTGACATCTGGGAGGACGTTCCACAGGGCGGGCGCCACTACCGAGAAGGCCCTCTGTCTGGTTCCCTGTAACCTCACTTCTTGCAATGAGGGAACCACCAGAAGGCCCTCGGCACTGGATCTCAATGTCCGGGCTGAATGA